CCGTGTCTGTCTCACCGTGTCTCTCTCACCGTGTCTCTCTCTCACTGTGTCTCTCTCTCACCCCCTGTCTCTCACTGTGTCTCTCTCACTGTGTCTCTCTCACTGTGTCTCTCTCACTGTGTCTCTCTCACTGTGTGTCTCTCTCACTGTGTGTCTCTCTCACTGTGTGTCTCTCTCACTGTGTCTCTCTCACTGTGTCTCTCTCACTGTGTCTCTCTCTCACTGTGTCTCTCTCACTGTGTCTCTCTCTCACTGTGTCTCTCTCACTGTGTCTCTCTCTCACTGTCTCTCTCTGACTGTGTCTGTCTCACTGTGTGTCTCTCTCACCGTGTGTCTCTCTCACTGTGAGTCTGTCTCTCTCACTGTGAGTCTGTCTCTCTCACTGTGAGTCTGTCTCTCTCACTGTGTCTCTCTCTCTCTCTCACTGTCTCTCTCTCACTGTGTCTCTCTCTCACTGTGTCTCTCTCTCACTGTGTCTCTCTCACCCCGTGTCTGTCTCACTGTGTCTGTCTCACTGTGTCTGTCTCACCCCGTGTGTCTCTCTCTCTCACTGTGTCTCTCTCTCACTGTGTCTCTCTCTCACTGTGTCTCTCTCACCCCGTGTCTCTCTCACCCCGTGTCTCTCTCACTGTGTCTCTCTCACTGTGTCTCTCTCACCCCGTGTCTCTCTCACCGTGTCTCTCTCACTGTGTCTCTCTCTCACCGTGTCTCTCTCACTGTGTCTCTCTCTCACTGTGTGTCTCTCTCTCACTGTGTCTCTCTCACCCCGTGTCTGTCTCACTGTGTCTGTCTCACTGTGTCTGTCTCACCCCGTGTGTCTCTCTCTCTCACTGTGTCTCTCTCTCTCACTGTGTCTCTCTCTCACTGTGTCTCTCTCTCACTGTGTCTCTCTCACTGTGTCTCTCTCACTGTGTCTCTCTCACTGTGTGTCTCTCTCACTGTGTCTCTCTCACTGTGTCTGTCTCACTGTGTCTGTCTCACTGTGTCTGTCTCACTGTGTCTCTCTCACTGTGTCTCTCTCACTGTGTCTCTCTCACTGTGTCTCTCTCTCTCACTGTGTCTCTCTCTCTCACTGTGTCTCTCTCTCTCACTGTGTCTCTCTCACTGTGTCTCTCTCTCACTGTGTCTCTCTCTCACTGTGTCTCTCTCACTGTGTCTGTCTCACTGTGTCTGTCTCACTGTGTCTCTCTCACTGTGTCTCTCTCTCTCACTGTGTCTCTCTCTCACTGTGTCTCTCTCACTGTGTCTGTCTCACTGTGTCTGTCTCACTGTGTCTCTCTCTCAGTGTCTCTCTCTCACTGTGTCTCTCTCTCAGTGTCTCTCTCTCACTGTGTCTCTCTCACTGTGTCTCTCTCTCACTGTGTCTCTCTCACTGTGTCTCTCTCACTGTGTCTCTCTCTCACTGTGTCTCTCTCACTGTGTCTCTCTCTCACTGTGTCTCTCTCACTGTGTCTCTCTCACTGTGTGTCTCTCTCACTGTGTCTCTCTCACTGTGTCTGTCTCACTGTGTCTGTCTCACTGTGTCTGTCTCACTGTGTCTCTCTCACTGTGTCTCTCTCACTGTGTCTCTCTTTCTCACTGTGTCTCTCTCTCTCACTGTGTCTCTCTCTCACTGTGTCTCTCTCTCTCACTGTGTCTCTCTCACTGTGTCTCTCTCTCACTGTGTCTCTCTCTCACTGTGTCTCTCTCTCACTGTGTCTCTCTCACTGTGTCTGTCTCACTGTGTCTGTCTCACTGTGTCTCTCTCACTGTGTCTCTCTCTCACTGTGTCTCTCTCTCACTGTGTCTCTCTCACTGTGTCTGTCTCACTGTGTCTGTCTCACTGTGTCTCTCTCTCAGTGTCTCTCTCTCACTGTGTCTCTCTCTCAGTGTCTCTCTCTCACTGTGTCTCTCTCACTGTGTCTCTCTCTCACTGTGTCTCTCTCACTGTGTCTCTCTCACTGTGTCTCTCTCTCAGTGTCTCTCTCTCAGTGTCTCTCTCTCAGTGTCTCTCTCTCACTGTGTCTCTCTCACTGTGTCTGTCTCACTCACTGTGTCTCTCTCACTGTGTCTCTCTCACTGTGTCTCTCTCACTGTGTCTCTCTCACTGTGTCTCTCTCTCACTGTCTCTCTCTCACTGTGTCTGTCTCACTGTGTCTGTCTCACTGTGTCTGTCTCACTGTGTCTCTCTCACTGTGTCTCTCTCTCTCACTGTGTCTCTCTCACTGTGTCTCTCTCACTGTCTCTCTCTCACTGTGTCTCTCTCTCACTGTGTCTCTCTCTCACTGTGTCTCTCTCACTGTGTCTCTCTCACTGTGTCTCTCTCTCACTGTCTCTCTCTCACTGTGTCTGTCTCACTGTGTCTGTCTCACTGTGTCTGTCTCACTGTGTCTCTCTCTCTCACTGTGTCTCTCTCACTGTGTCTCTCTCACTGTCTCTCTCTCACTGTGTCTCTCTCTCACTGTGTCTCTCTCTCACTGTGTCTCTCTCTCACTGTGTCTCTCTCACCCCGTGTCTCTCTCACTGTGTCTCTCTCACTGTGTCTCTCTCACCGTGTCTCTCTCTCACCGTGTCTCTCTCTCACCGTGTCTCTCTCTCACCGTGTCTCTCTCACTGTGTCTCTCTCACTGTGTCTCTCTCTCACTGTGTCTCTCTCACCCCGTGTCTGTCTCACTGTGTCTGTCTCACTGTGTCTGTCTCACTGTGTCTGTCTCACCCCGTGTGTCTCTCTCTCTCACTGTGTCTCTCTCTCTCACTGTGTCTCTCTCTCACTGTGTCTCTCTCTCACTGTGTCTCTCTCACTGTGTCTCTCTCACTGTGTCTCTCTCACTGTGTGTCTCTCTCACTGTGTCTCTCTCACTGTGTCTGTCTCACTGTGTCTGTCTCACTGTGTCTCTCTCACTGTGTCTCTCTCTCACTGTGTCTCTCTCACTGTGTCTCTCTCTCTCACTGTGTCTCTCTCACCCCGTGTCTCTCTCTCACTGTGTCTCTCTCACTGTGTCTCTCTCTCTCACTGTGTCTCTCTCACTGTGTCTCTCTCACTCACTGTGTCTCTCTCACTGTGTCTGTCTCACTGTGTCTCTCTCACTGTGTCTGTCTCTCACCCCGTGTCTCTCAACCCGTGTCTCTCTCTCACCCCGTGTCTCTCTCTCACCCCGTGTCTGTCTCACCCCGTGTCTCTCACCCCGTGTCTCTCACCCCGTGCCTCTCACCCCGTGTCTCTCACCCCGTGTCTCTCTCCCCGTGTCTCTCTCCCCGTGTCTCTCTCCCCGTGTCTCTCACCCCGTGTCTCTCACCCCGTGTCTCTCACCCCGTGTCTCTCACCCCGTGTCTCTCACCCCGTGTCTCTCACCCCGTGTCTCTCACCCCGTGTCTCTCACCCCGTGTCTCTCACCCCGTGTCTCTCTCACCGTGTCTCTCACCCCGTGTCTCTCACCCCGTGTCTCTCACCCCGTGTCTCTCTCACCGTGTCTCTCACCCCGTGTCTCTCACCCCGTGTCTCTCACCCCGTGTCTCTCACCCCGTGTCTCTCACCCCGTGTCTCTCACCCCGTGTCTCTCTCACCGTGTCTCTCACCCCGTGTCTCTCACCCCGTGTCTCTCTCACCGTGTCTATCTCACCGTGTCTGTCTCACCCCGTGTCTCTCACCCCGTGTCTCTCACCCCGTGTCTCTCACCCCGTGTCTCTCACCCCGTGTCTCTCACCCCGTGTCTCTCACCCCGTGTCTCTCACCCCGTGTCTCTCACCCCGTGTCTCTCACCCCGTGTCTCTCACCCCGTGTCTCTCTCTCTCTCCGTGTCTCTCTCTCTCCGTGTCTTTCTCTCTCTCTGTGTCTCTTTCCCCGTGTCTCTCTCCCCGTGTCTCTCTCCCCGTGTGTCTCTCTCCGTGTGTCTCTCTCTGTGTGTCTCTGTGTGTCTTTGTGTGTCTTTGTGTCTTTGTGTGTCTCTGTCTCTCTGTGTATCTCTCTGTGTGTCTCTGTGTGTTTCTGTGTCTCTGTGTGTGTCTCTGTGTGTCTCTGTGTGTCTCTGTGTGTGTCTCTGTGTGTCTCTGTGTGTCTCTGTGTGTCTGCGTGTCTCTGTGTGTCTCTGTGTGTCTCTGCGTGTCTCTGTGTGTCTCTGTGTCTGTGTGTCTCTGTGTGTCTCTGTGTGTCTCTGTGTGTCTCTGTGTCTCTGTCTCTCTGTGTGTCTGTGTGTGTCTGTGTGTCTCTGTGTATCTCTCTGCGTGTCTCTCTTTGCGTGTCTCTGTGTGTGTCTCTGTGTGTCTCTGTGTGTCTCTGTGTGTCTGCGTGTCTCTGTGTGTCTCTGTGTGTCTCTGCGTGTCTCTGTGTGTCTCTGTGTCTGTGTGTCTCTGTGTGTCTCTGTGTGTCTCTGTGTGTCTCTGTGTGTGTCTCTGTGTGTCTCTGTGTGTGTCTCTGTGTGTGTCTCTGTGTGTGTCTCTGTGTGGGTCTCTGTGTGGGTCTCTGAGTGCCTCTGTGTGTCTCTGTGTGTGTCTCTGTATGTGTCTCTGTATGTGTCTCCGTGTCTATCCGTGTCTCTCCGTGTCTCCGTGTCTCTGTGTGTGTCTCTGTGTGTCTCTGTGTGTCTCTGTGTGTCTCTGAGTGTCTCTCTGTGTCTCTCTGTGTCTCTGTGTGTCTCTGTGTGTCTCTGTGTGTGTCTCTCTCTGTCTCTGTGTGTCTCTGCGTGTCTCTCTCTGTGTCTCTATGTGTCTCTGTGTGTCTGTGTCTCTGTGTGTCTCTCTCTCTGTGTCTCTGTGTGTCTCTGTGTGTCTCTGAGTGTCTCTCTCTGTGTCTCTCTGTGTCTCTGTGTGTCTCTGTGTGTCTCTGTGTCTCTGTGTGTGTCTCTGTGTGTCTCTGTGTGTGTCTGTGTGTGTGTCTCTCTCTGTCTCTGTGTGTCTCTGTGTGTGTCTCTGTGTGTCTCTCTGTCTCTGTGTGTCTGTGTGTGTCTCTGTGTGTCTCTGTGTGTGTCTCTGTGTGTGTCTATGTGTGTGTCTCTCCGTGTGTCTCTCTCCGTGTCTCTTCCTACTTGCGTGGGGCATTTTCTGGGCGGCTGGACCAGTCCCAGATCCACTCGGGGTTTTTCTTCAGCAGAGCCTCCATCTCCGCAGACCGTTCCACACGGTCCTCATCCGACTGGGGACAGACACAGTGGCTTAAAATATGGCTCTAGATTTTGGTGTTATAATTTATTTACGTAGTTTATTGTTAATGATCACTGTTACATTGCATTTATGGCTTTTATTTTGGTGATTTTTGAAAACGTTTTTTTGGTTTTGGCCATGTTTTTTGTTGATTGTAGTACGGAGTTAGGCTGATGGCCTTAATCTAAAGTTGTCTTGTGGTTGTTGTTGTTGTTGTTTGACTTTGCATCCCACTGGGATTTTTGCACCACACAGCGTTGGTGGTTGTACGGTGCTATTTCAGGAATATTTTGATGTTGTTTTTCCATGGATTTTCCGTTTTGCACAGTCACACACAAAGTCACTTTAAGATTTTGATTTACAGCTTTCGTGACTGCAGTAACTCACAAAATAATAAAATATATTTTATATATATTTCAGGAATATTTTGATGTTGTTTTTTTTCCTGGATTTTCTGTTTTGCACAGTCACGCAAAGTCACTTTAAGATTTTGATTTACAGCTTTCGTGACTGCAGTAATTCACAACAAAATAATAAAATATATTATTTTGTTGTTTCCCTTCAACGTGGTGACTTTACCGAAAGAACTAAGAATATCACTTTAAGATGTTGTCTTGTTCGTGTTTTTAGTGTTTTTGCTTGTTGCAGTTGGACCCGATTCAAGAGCCGAATGGCTCACAGGGGCTATACCAACACAAATGAAACTATGAAAACTATGGAAACTATGAGAGTGAGTGAGTGAGAGAGATGCCGAAACAATTAAAATAACTACAAATAAAACAAAAAAATCTAAAAAATAAAATCTAAAAAAATTACGAAAACAAAAAACGTTTTAAAAAAATAATGAAAAATAAAGATAAACAAAACCTGAACAAAAAAAATAAAAAGAGGAAAAATACCAAAAAAAAATTTAAACTAAGAAAACTAAAGAAGGAGAAAACTAATTATTTTTTTTTAACCACAAAAAATAAGGAAACTAAAAAATAAACTAGAAAACACAACAACAAAAAACTACGAGTCAAAAGAAATTAGGAAAATTACAAATATTCAAATAACTAAAACAAAAAAATGTTTCTAAAGAAGACTACAAAAACAACGAAAAAACTAAGAGGGAAACGAAATTTTTTTCAAAGCAAATAAAAACTAAAAAACACTTCCACCACAAACTAAAAATTAAATCAAACTAAAAATAACTAAAAAAATAAAACTATAAACTAAAAAAATGACAATAGAAATTATAAAAAGGACAAATAAACTACTAAACACAAAATAACTAAAAAATAAAACTAAAAATAACTAAAAAATAAAACTATAAACTAAAAACAATGACAACAGAAATTATAAAAACAATAAATAAACTACTAAACACAAAAAACTATTTAATAAATAAAACTAAAAATAACTAAAAAATAAAACTATAAACTAAAAACAATGACAACAGAAATTATAAAAACAATAAATAAACTACTAAACACAAAAAACTATTTAATAAATAACACTAAAAATAACTAAAAAATAAAACTATAAACTAAAAACAATGACAATATAAATAATAAAACCAATAAATAAACTACTAAACACAAAAAAACAATTTAATAAATATAAATAAAAATAACTAAAAAATAAAACTATAAACTAAAAACAATGACAACAGAAATTATAAAAACAATAAATAAACTACTAAACACAAAAAAACTAGTTAATAAATAAAACTAAAAATAACTAAAAAATAAAACTATAAACTAAAAACAATGACAATATAAATTATAAAAAACTACAAATAAACTACTAAACACAAAAAAACTATTTAATAAATAAAACAAAAAATAACTAAAAAATAAAACTATAAACTAAAAACAATGACAACAGAAATTATAAAAACGATAAATAAACTACTAAACACAAAAAAAATATTTATTAAATAAAACAAAAAAAAACTATAAACTAAAAACAATGACAACAGAAATTATAAAAACTACAAATAAACTACTAAACACAAAAAAACTATTTAATAAATAAAACTAAAAATAACTAAAAAATAAAACTATAAACTAAAAACAATGACAACAGAAATTATAAAAACGATAAATAAACTACTAAACACAAAAAAAATATTTATTAAATAAAACTAAAAAAAACTATAAACTAAAAACAATGACAACAGAAATTATAAAAACTACAAATAAACTACTAAACACAAAAAAACTATTTAATAAATAAAACTAAAAATAACTAAAAAATAAAACTATAAACTAAAAACTATGACAATAGAAATTATAAAAACTACAAATAAACTACTAAACACAAAAAAAACTAGTTAATAAATAAAACTAAAAATAACTAAAAAATAAAACTATAAACTAAAAACAATGACAACAGAAATTATAAAAACAATAAATAAACTACTAAACACAAAAAAACTATTTAATAAATAAAACTAAAAATAACTAAAAAATAAAACTATAAACTAAAAACAATGACAACAGAAATTACAAAAACAATAAATAAACTACTAAACACAAAAAAACTATTTAATAAATAAAACTAAAAATAACTAAAAAATAAAACTATAAACTAAAAACAATGACAACAGAAATTACAAAAACAATAAATAAACTACTAAACACAAAAAAACTATTTAATAAATAAAACTAAAAATAACTAAAAAATAAAACTATAAACTAAAAACAATGACAACAGAAATTATAAAAACAATAAATAAACTACTAAACACAAAAAAACTAGTTAATAAATAAAACTAAAAATAACTAAAAAATAAAACTATAAACTAAAAACAATGACAATATAAATTATAAAAACTACAAATAAACTACTAAACACAAAAAAACTATTTAATAAATAAAACTAAAAATAACTAAAAACTAAAATAAAATAAAACTAAAAGTAACAAAAAATACGAAATATAACAAAATTAAGAAATGTTGATTCAAAGCTTTCGTGACTGCAGGGATTCAAACGCTTGGTTCATTCGGTAAAGTCACCACGACGTACTTTACCCAAAGAACCAAGAATAAAAATACAGAAAACTTAAAAAAAAACTACAAATACAGAAAACTTAAAAAATAACTAAAAACACAGAAAACTTAAAAAAAACTAAAAATACAGAAAACTTAACTACAAATACAGAAAACTAAAAAAAAAAACTAAAAATACAGAAAACTTAAAAAGAAAACTAAAAATACAGAAAACTTAAAAAGAAAACTAAAAATACAGAAAACTTAAAAAACTAAAAATACAGAAAACTTAAAAAAACTAAAAATACAGAAAACTTAAAAAAACTAAAAATACAGAAAACTTAAAAAAAAACTAAAAATACAGAAAACTTAAAAAAAAAACTAAAAATACAGAAAACTTACAAACAAAAACAAAAAATACAGAAAACTTAAAAAAACTAAAAATACAGAAAACTTAAAAAAACTAAAAATACAGAAAACTTAAAAAAACTAAAAATACAGAAAACTTTAAAAAAAACTAAAAATACAGAAAACTTAAAAAAAACTAAAAATACAGAAAACTTTAAAAAACTAAAAATACAGAAAACTTAAAAAAACTAAAAATACAGAAAACTTAAAAAAACTAAAAATACAGAAAACTTTAAAAAAACTAAAAATACAGAAAACTTAAAAAAACTAAAAATACAGAAAACTTAAAAGGAAACCTGAAAAAAATAAATCAAACTAAAAAAAAAATCTAAAAAGAACGGAAAAACTAAAAATTAACGAACACAAACCCACAAGGGAAAAAACTAAAGAAAATTAAAATTAGAAAAAAAAAATCTAAGCGTTAAAAAAACTTACAAACACTAAAGAAAAACTAAAATAAAGAAAACTAAAAAACGAAAAATAAAACAAATATTTTTTTTAACAATAATAAAAACTAAAAAGCTACGAAAAATAAAACTAAACCACAAAACACAAAACACTAAAAGTTAATTTTTTTTTTAGAAAATTAAAACTACAAAAGTAAAAAGAAATTAAAATCAAAGAAAACTACAAAAAAAAATAAAACCTACAAAACGGAAGGAAACTAAAATATTAATAAATAAAGATTACTAACAATCTAAACAAACTCAAGAAACCCCATACAAATCTAGAAGAGACACAGAGAGAGAGACAGAGACACACAGAGACACAGAGACACACAGAGACACACAGAGACACACAGAGACACACAGAGACACAGAGAGACACACACAGAGACACACAAAGACACACAGAGACACAGGCACAGAGACACACAGAGACAGACATAGAGACACAGAGACACACAGAGACACAGACAGAGACACAGAGACACACAGAGACACAGACATAGAGACACACAGAGACAGAGAGAGACACAGAGACACAGAGAGACACACAGAGACACACAGAGACACAGACATAGAGACACAGAGACACACAGAGACAGAGAGAGACACAGAGACACACAGAGACACAGAGAGACACAGAGAGACACAGAGAGACACACAGAGACACAGACATAGAGACACAGAGAGACAGAGAGAGACACAGAGACACAGACACACAGAGACGCACAGAGACACATAGAGAGACACAGACACAGAGGGAGACACAGAGACATAGAGACAGAGACAGAGGGAGACACACAGAGACAGACAGAGACAGAAACACACACACAGAGACAGAGAGAGACAGAGACACACACAGAGACAGAGAGAGACACAGAGAGACACAGAGAGACACAAAGAGACACAGAGACAGACAGAGACAGAGACACACACAGAGACACACACAGAGACACACACAGAGACACACAGAGACACACAGAGAGACACACAGAGAGACACAGAGACACACAGAGACACACAGAGACAGAGAGACACACAGAGACAGAGAGACACACAGAGACAGAGAGACACACAGAGACACACAGAAACAGACAGAGACAGAGAGACACACAGAGACAGAGAGAGTCACACAGACACACACAGAGCCACACAGACACACACAGAGACACACAGAGACAGAGAGAGACAGAAAGAGACACAGAGACACAGAGACAGAGAGAGACAGAAAGAGACACAGAGTCACAGAGACAGAGACACACACAGACACACAGAGAGATAGAGAGAGACACAGAGACACACAGAGACAGAGCCACACAGACTCACACAGAGACAGAGAGAGACACAGAGACACACAGAGACAGAGACACACACAGACACACACAGAGATAGAGGGAGACAGAGGGAGACAGAGACACACAGAGACACACAGAGACAGAGGGAGACACAGAGACACACAGAGACAGACACACAGACAGAGACACACAGAGACAGACAGAGACACAGAGAGAGACACAGAGAGACAAAGACAGAGGGAGACAGACAGACACACAGAGACACAGAGACAGAGGGAGACAGAGACAGAGACACAGAGACACAGAGGGAGACAGAGACACACAGAGACACACAGAGACAGAGAGACAGAGAGGGAGACAGAGACACAGAGACACAGAAACAGAGACACACAGAGACACAGAGACACAGAGGGAGCCAGAGACACACAGAGACACACAGAGACAGAGAGACAGAGGGAGACAGAGACACAGAGACACAGAGACACACAGAGACACAGAGGGAGACACAGAGACACAGAGGGAGACAGAGACAGAGAGAGACACAGAGGGAGACAGAGAGACAGAGACAGAGAGACAGAGACACACAGAGACACACAGACACAGAGACAGACAGAGAGAGAGAGACGGAGTCACCTGGTTGCTGGATTTGTCAGCGTCTGTCTCAGTCACCAGGCCTCCTCGTGGACTCGGAACTAACGGAGGACTGCAACAACAACATAATAAACAACAACATCAACATCATCATCAACAACAACATCAACAACATCAACAACACGAACAACATCATCAACAACAACATAAACAACAACATCAACAACAACAACATCATCAACAACATCAACAACACGAACAACATCATCAACAACAACATAAACAACAACATCAACAACAACAACATAATAAACAACATCAACATCAACAACAAAATCAACATCAACAACATCAACATCAACAACAACATCAACATCAACAACATCATCATCAACAACAACATCATCATCAACAACAACATCATCATCAACAACATCAACATCAACAACATCAACAACAACATCATCATCATCAACAACAACAACATCATCATAAACAACATCAACATCAACAACAACAACATAATAAACAACAACAACATCAACAACATAATAAACAACAACATCAACAACATCATCAACAACATCATCATCAACAACATCAACAACATCAACAACAACATCAACAACAACATCAACAACAACATCAACAACAACATCAACAACAACATCATCAACAACATCATCATCAACAACATCAACAACAACATCAACAACAACATCAACAACAACATCAACAACAACATCAACAACATCAACATCATCAACATCATCAACATCAACAACATCAACAACAACATCAACAACAACATCAACATCAACAACATCAACATCAACAACATCAACAACATCCACATCAACAACAACATTATCAACAACATTATCAACAACGTCATCAAGATTATCAACATCAATAATCAACAACATCATTAATATCATCAACAACAGTGAGTGGTTGACTTAGTGAGTGAGTGGCTGAGTGAGTGACTGAGTGAGTGAGTGGCTGAGTGAGTGAGTGGCTGGGTGAGTGACTGAGTGAGTACTACTAGTGAGTACTAGTGAGTGACTGAGTGAGTACTAGTGAGTGACTGAGTGAGTACTAGTGAGTACTAGTGAGTACTACTAGTACTCACTACTAGTGAGTACTAGTAGTGAGTACTAGTGAGTACTACTACTGAGTACTAGTGAGTACTACTAGTGAGTACTAGTGAGTACTAGTGAGTACTAGTAGTGAGTACTATCTACCTGTCACAGTGTGTGCTGCTGCTACGTGAGCTGCTGGCCCCCGACTCGCGCTGTGCATCGAGAAGAATTCGCTCCATCTCGCCGTGGAAGGCGCTGAGTGAGTGAGTGACTGTGTGAGTGAGTGACTGTGTGAGTGAGTGAGTGACTGTGTGAGTGACTGTGTGAGTGAGTGAGTGATTGTGTGAGTGAGTGACTGTGTGAGTGAGTGTGTGAGTGACTGTGTGAGTGACTGTGTGAGTGACTGTGTGTGTGATTGTGTGAGTGAGTGACTGTGTGAGTGTGTGAGTGACTGTGTGAGTGAGTGAGTGATTGTGTGAGTGAGTGACTGTGTGAGTGAGTGAGTGACTGTGTGAGTGACTGTGTGAGTGACTGTGTGAGTGAGTGACTGTGTGAGTGAGTGAGTGACTGTGTGAGTGACTGTGTGAGTGAGTGACTGTGTGAGTGAGTGACTGTGTGAGTGGGTGAGTGACTGAGTGAGTGAGTGACTGAGTGAGTGAGTGACTGGTTGACTGGTTGACTGAGTGACTGAGTGACTGTGTGAGTGACTGAGTGACTGTGTGAGTGAGTGAGTGACTGAGTGAGTGACTGAGTGAGTACTAGTGAGTACTAGTGAGTACTAGTAGTGAGTACTAGTACCTGTCACAGTGTGTGCTGCTGCTACGTGAGCTGCTGGCCCCCGACTCGCGCTGTGCATCGAGAAGAATTCACTCCATCTCGCCGTGGAAGGCGCTGAGTGAGTGAGTGGCTGTGTGAGTGAGTGACTGTGTGAGTGACTGTGTGAGTGAGTGAGTGACTGTGTGAGTGAGTGAGTGACTGTGTGAGTGAGTGACTGTGTGAGTGAGTGACTGAGTGAGTGAGTGACTGTGTGAGTGAGTGACTGGTTGACTGGTTGACTGAGTGACTGAGTGACTGTGTGAGTGACTGTGTGAGTGAGTGACTGAGTGAGTGAGTGACTGAGTGAGTGAGTGACTGTGTGAGTGACTGTGTGAGTGAGTGAGTGACTGGTTGACTGGTTGACTGAGTGATTGAGTGAGTGACTGACTGAGTGAGTGACTGAGTGAGTGACTGAGTGAGTGACTGAGTGGTTGTTATCTACCTGTCACAGTGTGTGCTGCTGCTACGTGAGCTGCTGGCCCCAGACTCGCGCTGTGCATCGAGAAGAATTCGCTCCATCTCGCCGTGGAAGGCGCTCGCAGGAGCGGAGCTGCAGGGAGCTGCCTGCAGCTCCACCCACGAGCCTGACACGAGCAGCATCATCAGTATCATCATCAGCAGCATCATCATCATCAGCAGCATCATCATCAGCAGCATCATCATCATCAGCGGCAGCATCATCAGCAGCATCATCACCATCATCAGCAGCAGCATCATCAGCCTCATCATCATCATCATCAGCAGCATCATCATCATCAGCTGCATCATCATCAGCATCATCATCATCAGCAGCATCATCACCATCATCAGCTACATCATCATCAGCAGCAGCATCATCATCATCATCAGCAGCATCATCAGCAGCATTCAGCATCATCATCAGCTACATCATCATCAGCAGCATCATCATCATCAGCTACATCATCATCAGCAGCAGCATCATCATCATCAGCAGCAGCATCATCATCATCAGCAGCATCATCAGCAGCATTCAGCATCATCATCATCAGCTACATCATCATCAGCAGCATCATCATCATCAGCTACATCATCATCAGCAGCAGCATCATCATCATCATCATCAGCTACATCATCATCATCAGCAGCAGCATCATCATCATCATCAGCAGCATCATCATCATCAGCAGCATCATCAGCAGCATTCAGCATCATCATCATCAGCTACATCATCATCAGCAGCAGCATCATCATCATCATCAGCAGCAGCATCATCATCATCAGCAGCATCATCAGCAGCATTCAACATCATCATCATCAGCTACATCATCATCAGCAGCATCATCATCATCAGCTACATCATCATCAGCAGCAGCATCATCATCATCATCAGCAGCATCATCATCATCAGCAGCATCATCAGCATCATCATCATCAGCTGCATCATCATCCGCATCATCAGCAGCATTCAGCATCATCATCAGCATTCAGCATCATCATCATCATCAGCAGCAGCATCATCATCATCATCATCAGCATTCAGCATCATCATCATCAGCAGCAGCAGCATCATCAGCATTCAGCATCATCATCAGCAGCATCATCATCAGCATCAGCAGCATCATCATCATCAGCAGCAGCATCATCATCATCACCATCATCAGAAGCATCATCAGCTACATCATCATCAGCAGCAGCAGCATCAGCAGCATCATCAGCATCATCATCATCAGCGGCAGCATCATCATCAGCAGCAGCATCATCATCAGCAGCAGCATCATCAGCAGCAGCATCATCATCAGCAGCATCATCATCACCATCATCAGCAGCAGCATCATCAGCAGCATCATCATCATCAGCAGCATCATCATCATCATCAGCAGCATCATCAGCATCATCATCATCAGCTGCATCATCATCCGCATCATCAGCAGCATTCAGCATCATCATCATCATCAGCAGCAGCATCATCATCAGCATCATCATCAGCTGCATCATCATCATCAGCTGCATCATCATCATCAGCAGCAGCATCATCATCAGCAGCATTCAGCATCATCATCATCATTAGCTGCAGCATCATCATCAGCATCATCATCAGCAGCATCATCATCAGCAGCATCATCACCATCATCATCATCAGCTGCATCATCATCAGCAGCATTCAGCATCATCATCATCATTAGCTGCATCATCATCATCCTCAGCTGCATCATCATCAGCAGAAGCATCAGCATCATCATCAGAGCATCATCATCAGCTGCAGCATTAGCTGCAGCATCATCAGCATCATCATCAGAGCATCATCATCAGCTGCAGCATCATCAGCATCATCATCAGCAGTATCATCATCAGCAGCATCATCAGCAGCAGCAGCTACATCAGCAGCTGCATCATCATCAGCAGCATTCAGCATCATCACCATCATCAGCAGCAGCATCATCATCATCAGCATTCAGCATCATCATCATCATCACCAGCTGCATCATCATCATCATCTGCATCATCATGATCATCATCATGATCATCAGCAGCATCATCATCATCAGCAGCATCATCAGCATCATCATCAGCAGAGCATCATCATCATCATCAGCTGCATCATCAGCAACTGCATCATCATCAGCTGCATCATCAGCAACAGCATCATCAGCAGAGCATCATCATCAGCTGCATCATCAGCAGCATCATCAGCAGCATCGTCAGCATCATCAGCAGTAGTAGCAGCAAACAACCAATCACTCACCCACTCACTCACTCACCCACTCACTCACTCACCCACTCACCCACTCACTCACTCGCTCACCCACTCACCCACTCACTCACTCACCCACTCACTCACTCACCCACTCACTCACTCACCCACTCACCCGCTCACTCGCTCACCCATTCACTTACCCACTCACCCACCCACTCACTCACCCACTCACCCACTCACTCACTCACTCGCTCACTCGCCCACTCACTCACTCGCTCACCCACCCACTCACTCACCCACTCACTCACTCGCTCACCCACCCACTCGCTCACCCACTCACCCACCCACCCACTCACTCACCCACCCACTCACCCACCCACCCACTCACCCACCCACCCACTCACTCACTCACCCACCCACTCAACCACTCACCCACCCACTCACCCACCCACTCACTCACCCACTCACTCACCCACCCACTCACCCACCCATTCACCCACTCACTCACTCACCCACTCACCCACTCACTCACCCACTCACCCACCCACTCTCACACTCACCCACTCACTCACTCGCCCACTGACTCACCCACTCACTCACTCACCCACCCACTCAGCCACTCACTCACCCACTCACCCACCCACTCACCCACTAACTCACTCATCCACTCACACTAACTCACTCATCCACCCACTCTCACACTCACTAAGCACGCCATGAGTGTGTGTGTAGATGGTGGTGATGATGGTGGTGGTGATGATGATGGTGATGATGGTGGTGGTGATGATGGTGGTGATGGTGGTGGTGATGATGGTGGTGATGATGGTGGTGGTGATGATGATGGTGATGATGGTGGTGGTGATGATGGTGGTGATGGTGGTGATGATGGTGGTGGTGATGATGGTGGTGGTAATGATGGTGGTGATGATGGTGGTGAGGATGGTGACGATGGTGTTAATGATGGTGGTGATGATGGTGGTGATGGTGATGGTGTTGATGATGATGGTGACGATGTTGTTGATGATGATGGTGTTGATGATGATGGTGACGATGTTGTTGATGATGATGGTGAGGATGATGACGATGGTGTTGATGATGATGATGGTGTTGATGATGGTGGTGACGATGTTGTTGATGATGATGGTGTTGATGATGATGATGGTGTTGATGACGATGGTGTTGATGATGATGATGACGGTGGTGTTGATGTTGATGGTGTTGATGATGGTGACGATGTTGTTGATGATGATGATGGTGTTGATGATGTTGTTGATGATGATGATGTTGATGGTGACGATGGTGTTGATGATGACGATGATGTTGACGATGGTGTTGATGATGATGACGATGATGTTGACGATGGTGTTGATGATGATGACGATGGTGTTGATGATGTTGACGATGGTGTTGATGATGTTGATGACGATGTTGTTGATGATGATGATGTTGTTGATGATGATGATGTTGTTGATGATGATGATGATGACGATGGTGTTGATGATGGTGTTGATGGTGATGGTGGTGTTGATGATGACGATGGTGGTGGTGGTGATGATGACGGTGGTGGTGTTGATGATGACGCTATAAATAGCTGGGTACACGACCTTTCTACTGTCTCCCCCCCCGTCTCTCCCCGTGTCTCTCCCCATGTCTCCCCGTGTCTCTCCCCATGTCTCCCCGTGTCTCTCCCCATGTCTCCCCGTGTCTCTCCCCATGTCTCCCCGTGTCTCTGTCTCCCCGTGTCTCTCCCCATGTCTCCCCGTGTCTCTCCCCATGTCTCCCCGTGTCTCTGTCTCCCCGTGTCTCTCCCCATGTCTCCCCGTGTCTCTCCCCATGTCTCCCCGTGTCTCTCCCCATGTCTCCCCGTGTCTCTGTCTCCCCGTGTCTCTCCCCATGTCTCCCCGTGTCTCTCCCCATGTCTCCCCGTGTCTCTCCCCATGTCTCCCCGTGTCTCTCCCCATGTCTCCCCGTGTCTCTCCCCATGTCTCCCCGTGTCTCTCCCCGTGTCTCTGTCTCCCCATGTCTCCCCGTGTCTCCCCGTGTCTCTCCCCATGTCTCCCCGTGTCTCCCCATGTCTCCCCGTGTCTCTCCCCATGTCTCCCCGTGTCTCTCCCCATGTCTCCCCGTGTCTCCCCGTGTCTCTGTCTCCCCGTGTCTCTCCCCATGTCTCCCCGTGTCTCTCCCCATGTCTCCCCGTGTCTCTCCCCATGTCTCTCCGTGTCTCTCCCCATGTCTCCCCGTGTCTCTCCCCGTGTCTCTCCCCATGTCTCCCCGTGTCTCCCCGTGTCTCTGTCTCCCCGTGTCTCTCCCCATGTCTCCCCGTGTCTCCCCATGTCTCCCCGTGTCTCTCCCCATGTCTCCCCGTGTCTCTCCCCATGTCTCCCCGTGTCTCTGTCTCCCCGTGTCTCTCCCCATGTCTCCCCGTGTCTCTCCCCATGTCTCCCCGTGTCTCTCCCCATGTCTCCCCGTGTCTCTCCCCGTGTCTCCCCGTGTCTCTGTCTCCCCGTGTCTCTCCCCATGTCTCCCCGTGTCTCTCCCCATGTCTCCCCGTGTCTCTCCCCATGTCTCCCCGTGTCTCTCCCCATGTCTCCCCGTGTCTCTGTCTCCCCGTGTCTCTCCCCATATCTCCCCGTGTCTCTCCCCATGTCTCCCCGTGTCTCTCCCCATGTCTCTCCGTGTCTCTCCCCATGTCTCCCCGTGTCTCTCCCCATGTCTCCCCGTGTCTCTCCCCATGTCTCCCCGTGTCTCTCCCTATGTCTCCCCGTGTCTCTCCCCGTGTCTCTGTCTCCCCATGTCTCCCCGTGTCTCCCCGTATCTCTGTCTCCCCGTGTCTCTCCCCATGTCTCCCCGTGTCTCCCCATGTCTCCCCATGTCTCCCCGTGTCTCTGTGTCCCCGTGTCTCTGTCTCTCCCCATGTCTCCCCGTGTCTCTGTGTCCCCGTGTCTCTGTCTCTCCCCATGTCTCCCCGTGTCTCCCCATGTCTCCCCGTGTCTCCGTGTCTCCGTGTCTCCGTGTCTCCGTGTCTCTGTGTCCCCGTGTCTCTCCCCGTGTCTCTCTCCGTGTCTCTCTCCGTGTCTCCGTGTGTCTCCGTGTGTCTCCCCGTGTCTCTCCCCGTGTCTCCGTGTCTCTCCCCGTGTCTCCGTGTCTCTCTCCGTGTCTCTCTCCGTGTGTCTCCGTGTCTCTCCCCGTGTCTCTCTCCGTGTGTCTCTCCGTATGTCTCTCCCCGTGTCTCTCTCCCCGTGTGTCTCCCCGTGTCTCTCCCCGTGTCTCCGTGTCTCTCCCCGTGTCTCTCCCCGTGTCTCTCCCCGTGTCTCCGTGTGTCTCCCCGTGTCTCTCTCCGTGTGTCTCCCCGTGTCTCTCTCCGTGTCTCTCCCCGTGTCTCTGTGTCTCTCTCCGTGTCTCTCTCCGTGTGTCTCCCCGTGTCTCCGTGTGTCTCCCCGTGCCTCCGTGTCTCTCTCCGTGTCTCTCCCCGTGTCTCCCCGTGTCTCTCTCCGTGTCTCTCCCCGTGTCTCCGTGTCTCTCTCCGTGTCTCTCTCCGTGTCTCTCCCCGTGTCTCCCCGTGTCTCTCTCCGTGTCTCTCCCCGTGTCTCCGTGTCTCTCTCCGTGTCTCTCCCCGTGTCTCCGTGTGTCTCCGTGTCTCTCTCCGTGTCTCTCCCCGTGTCTCTCTCCGTGTCTCTCCCCGTGTCTCCGTGTCTCTCCCCGTGTCTCCGTGTGTCTCCCCGTGTCTCCGTGTCTCCCCGTGTCTCCGTGTCTCTCTCCGTGTCTCTCCCCGTGTGTCTCCCCGTGTCTCTCCCCGTGTCTCCGTGTCTCTCCCCGTGTCTCTCCCCATGTCTCCCCGTGTCTCCGTGTGTCTCCGTGTGTCTCCCCGTGTCTCCGTGTCTCTCCCCATGTCTCCCCGTGTCTCTTCCCGTGTCTCCGTGTCTCTCCCCTTGTCTCCGTGTCTCTCCCCGTGTCTCCGTGTCTCTCCCCGTGTCTCTCCCCGTGTCTCTCTCTCCGTGTCTCCGTGTCTCTCACCCTGGAGGCTGGTGCTCCCATTGTCCTCTCCCGACATGGCGATGTCGTCTCCACTCTGTCTCTGTGTCTCCTCTCTGTCTCTCTGTGTCTCCACTCTGTCTCTGTGTCTCTGTGTCTCCACTCTGTCTCTCTGTGTCTCCACTCTGTCTCTCTGTGTCTCGCTGTCTCACTCTGGGCCCGTGTTTACTCGGACTCCGGTGACGTCATCTGGAGCGATTAATATTCATGAGGCTACTTAATATTCATCAAGTTCATTTCCTCGCCTCGTTAACATATTCACGAGCCTAATTAATATTCATGAGCTCGCGCCGATCGGACGATAGTTCATGAGGTCGCTCAACATGTTAACGCGGGGAGTGAGCCTAACCCCTAATTAATATTCATGAGATCGCCCTAGTCACGTGACGTCGGACACCGCACCCCCCCGCTACCTAATTAATATTCATGAGGTCGCCCCATGTCACGTGATGTCGGCCACACCCCTCCCAGCTTAATTAATATTCATGAGGTCGTCAGTCACGTGATGACCACAGCCTCTGTTGCGATCGACGTAGTGGTTTACTGTTATTTTTTAATTTTCTTAACTTTGTTATTTTCTTTATATTTTCTTTGTTATTTTCTTTATAATTTATTATTTTATTGTTTCCCTTCAACGTGACTTTACCGAAAGAGCTAAGAATGTTATTTTCTTTGTTATTTATTTTCTTTGTTATTTTCTGTTATTTTTTGGTTATTTTCTTTGTAATTTTTTGATATATTTTATATTATTTTCTTGTTACTTTCTTTGTTATTTTCTTTGTTATTTTTGGTTATTTTCTGTTATTTTCTTGTTATTTTCTGTAATTTTCTTTGCTATTTTTTCGTTATCAATTCCTGCAGCCACCAAAAGCTTCAAGTCGACATTTAACACCCAGCCGGTTTTATTAGTCACCACCACGTAGAAGGGAAACAATAAAATATTAAAAATATAAAACAATACAATTATTGTAAAACAATAAAATTATTATTCTTGGTTCTTTCAGTAAAGTCACCACCTTGTAGAAGGGAAACAATAAAATAATAAAAATATAAAACAATAAAATTATTGTAAAACAATAAAATTATTATTCTTGGTTCTTTGGGTAAAGTCACCACCACGTAGAAGGGAAACAATAAATTAATAAAAATATAAAACAATAAAATTATTATTCTTGGTTCTTTCGGTAAAGTCACCACCGCGTGGAAGGGAAACAATAAAATAATAAAAATATAAAACAATAAAATTATTGTAAAACAATAAAATTATTATTCTTGGTTCTTTCAGTAAAGTGACCACCCCGTAGATGGGAAACAATAAAAATATAAAACAATAAAATTCTCAATTTATTATTTTCAATTTAACATTTATTATAATGTGCGAACCCAGCCGGTCACGTGGTGCGCGGCCCTCAGCGAAAGGCGTCAACGCGACGCAACCCCATTGGCTTAGCCAACAGAGGCGTGACGTCGGACCCGCGCGCACGTGGCACGCGGCGGCCAATCAGCGAGCGAGCAACCTTCCCCACCCTCACCCCTCCCCTCAACCCCTCCAACCCCTCCCCCTATCCCCCCTAACCCCCCAAACCCCTCCCCCTAACCCCCCAAACCCCTCCCCCTAACCCCCCAAACCCCTCCCCCTAACCCCCCTAAACCCCTCCCCTAACCCCCCAAACCCCTCCCCCTTACCCCCAAACCCCTCCCCCTAACCCCCCCAAACCCCTCCCCCTAACCCCCCAAACCCCTCCCCCTAACCCCCAAACCCCTCCCCCTAACCCCCCCCCCCCCCAAACCCCTCCCCCTAACCCCCCAAACCCCTCCCCCTAACCCCCAAACCCCTCCTCCTAACCCCCCCAAACCCCTCCCCCCAACCCCCCCAAACCCCTCCCCCCAACCCCCCCAAACCCCTCCCCCTAACCCCCCAAACCCCTCCCCCGAACCCCCCAAACTCCTCCCCCTAACTCCCAAACCCCTCCCCCTTACCCCCCAAACCCCTCCCCCTAACCCCCCCAAACCCCTCCCCCTAACCCCCCCAAACCCCTCCCCCCAACCCCTCCCCCCACCCCAAATTCCTCACCCCTCCCCCCTAACCCCCCCAACCCCCCAACTCCTCCCCCCCCCGCACCTCCTTACCCCTCCCCCTAACCCCCAACTCCTCCCCCTAATCCCCCAAACCCCTCCCCCTAACCCCCAAACCCCTCCCCCTAACCTTCCCAAACCCCTCCCCCCAACCCCCCCAAACCCCTCCCCCCAACCCCCCCAAACCCCTCCCCCTAACCCCAAACCCCTCCCCCTAACCCCTTCAACCCCTCCCCCTAACCCCCAAACCCCTCCCCCTAACCCCCCAAACCCCTCCCCCTAACCCCAAACCCCTCCCCCTAACCCCCAAACCCCTCCCCCTAACCCCTCCCCCTAACCCCCCAAACCCCTCCCCCTAACCCCTTCAACCCCTCCCCCAAACCCCTCCCCCTAACCCCCCCAAATTCCCCCAACCCCCCCCCCCCAATCCCCCCAACTCCTCCCCCCGCACCTCCTAACCCCTCCCCCTAACCCCCAACCCCTCCCCCTAAACCCTCCAACTCCTCCCCCCTCCCCGCACCTCCTAACCCCTCCCTACCCCCACCTCGGTTACGAGGAGGACACGTTGCGAGTATCCCTCCGCGGCGGCGCGAGCGAGCGAATCGGCTTTGGCGGGAAGGCCGCTTCACCGCCTCCGCCGCCTCGCTATCTCTCGCGGCTCCGACCGTGTATCGGTCCGAGAAAAAAATATAATCCGGGCTGTTTTCGTTCCGTGAATTCGTTCGTTCGTTCGTCGTTCCCCCGAAACCTCGGCATTAATTCGTTCAGCTCGGCACCGATGGCGCGCGGTTTGTATTTTTTTGAAAATGTGGTTAAAAAAAATAACAAAAAAGTAGTGCGGTAAGACGGCTTCCCTCAGGCATCCAAGTCCGCGTCTCTTGAGTTGGAAGTCAAGAAGATAGGTGAGGGGGGTGATGGTGATGGGGGTGGTGATGGTGGTGATGGGGTGATGGTGGTGGTGATGGGGTGATGGTGATGGTGGTGATGGGGTGATGGTGATGGTGGTGAGGGGGTGATGGTGGTGGTGGTGATGGTGGTGATGGTGGTGTGGTGAGGGGGTGGTGATGTGGTGATAGTTGTGGTGGTGTTGATGATGGGGGTGGTGATGGTGGTGATGGTGGTGGTGGTGATGGTGGTGAGGGGGTGATGAGGGGGTGATGGGGGTGGTGGTGATGGTGATGGGGGTGGTGATGGTGGTGGTGATGTGGTGATAGTTGTGGTGGTGTTGATGATGGTGGTGATGGTGGTGATGGTGATGGGGTGGTGATGGTGGTGGTGATGTGGTGATAGTTGTGGTGGTGTTGATGATGGTGGTGATGGTGGTGATGGTGATGGGGTGGTGATGGTGAGGGGGTGATGGTGGTGATGGGGTGGTGGTGATGGTGGTGGTGGGGTGGGGGTGGTTATGATGGGGGGGGGTGATGGGGGTGGTGATGGTGGTGAGGGGGTGATGGTGGTGGTGATGATGGTGGTGGTGATGAGGGAGGTGGTGATGGTGGTGATGGTGATGGGGTGGGGGTGATGAGGGGGTGATGGGGGTGGTGGTGATGGTGGTGTAGTGATGGGGGTGGTGATGGGGTGATGATGGGAGTGGTGATGGGGGTGGTGATGGTGATGGTATTGATGATGTTGTAATTGTGATGTTGATGTTGCCAGTGTTGAAGATGGTGATGGGGGTGATGGTGATGGTATTGATGATGATGTTATTGTCATGTTGATGTCAGTGTTGAAGATGGTGATGGGGGTGATGGTGATGGTATTGATGATGATGTTATTGTGATGTTGATGTCAGTGTTGAAGATGGTGATGGGGGTGATGGTGATGGTGATGATGTTATTGTGATGTTGATGTTGTCAGTGATGAAGATGGTGATGGGGGTGATGGTGATGGTATTGATGATGATGTTATTGTGATGTTGATGTTGTCAGTGTTGAAGATGGTGATGGGGGTGATGGTGATGGTATTGATGATGTTGTAATTGTGATGTTGATGTTGCCAGTGTTGAAGATGGTGATGGGGGTGGTGGTGATGGTATTGATGATGATGTTATTGTGATGTTGTCAGTGTTGAAGATGGTGATGGGGGTGATGGTGATGGTATTGATGATGTTGTAATTGTGATGTTGATGTTGTCAGTGTTGAAGATGGTGATGGGGGTGATGGTGATGGTATTAATGATGATGTAATTGTGATGTTGATGTTGTCAGTGTTGAAGATGGTAATGGGGGTGATGGTGATGGTATTGATGATGATGTTATTGTGATGTTGATGTTGTCAGTGTTGAAGATGGTGATGGGGGTGATGGTATTGATGATGTTGTAATTGTGATGTTGATGTTGTCAGTGTTGAAGATGGTGATGGGGGTGATGGTGATGGTATTGATGATGTTATTGTGATGTTGATGTTGTCAGTGTTGAAGATGGTGATGGTGATGGTATTGATGATGTTGTAATTGTGATGTTGTCAGTGTTGAAGATGGTGATGGGGGTGATGGTGATGGTATTGATGATGTTGTAATTGTGATGTTGATGTTGCCAGTGATGAAGATGGTGATGGGGGTGGTGGTGATGGTATTGATGATGATGTTATTGTCATGTTGATGTTGCCAGTGTTGAAGATGGTGATGGGGGTGATGGTGATGGTATTGATGATGATGTTATTGTGATGTTGATGTTGTCAGTGTTGAAGATGGTGATGGAGGTGATGGTGATGGTATTGATGTTATTGTGATGTTGATGTTGTCAGTGTTGAAGATGGTGATGGGGGTGATGGTGATGGTATTGATGATGATGTTATTGTGATGTTGATGTTGTCAGTGTTGAAGATGGTGATGGGGGTGATGGTGATGGTATTGATGATGATGTTATTGTGATGTTGATGTTGTCAGTGTTGAAGATGGTGATGGGGGTGATGGTGATGGTATTGATGATGTAATTGTGATGTTGATGTTGCCAGTGATGAAGATGGTGATGGGGGTGATGGTGATGGTATTGATGATGTTGTAATTGTGATGTTGATGTTGTCAGTGTTGAAGATGGTGATGGGGGTGATGGTGATGGTATTGATGATGATGTAATTGTGATGTTGATGTTGTCAGTGTTGAAGATGGTGATGGGGGTGATGGTGATGGTATTGATGATGATGTTATTGTGATGTTGATGTTGTCAGTGTTGAAGATGGTGATGGGGGTGATGGTGATGGTATTGATGATGATGTTATTGTGATGTTGATGTTGTCAGTGTTGAAGATGGTGATGGGGGTGATGGTGATGATGATGTTATTGTGATGTTGATGTCAGTGTTGAAGATGGTGATGGGGTGATGGTGATGGTATTGATGATGATGTAATTGTGATGTTGATGTTGTCAGTGTTGAAGATGGTGATGGGGGTGATGGTATTGATGATGATGTTATTGTGATGTTGATGTTGTCAGTGTTGAAGATGGTGATGGAGGTGATGGTGATGGTATTGATGTTATTGTGATGTTGATGTTGTCAGTGTTGAAGATGGTGATGGGGGTGATGGTGATGGTATTGATGATGATGTTATTGTGATGTTGATGTTGTCAGTGTTGAAGATGGTGATGGGGGTGATGGTGATGGTATTGATGATGTTGTAATTGTGATGTTGATGTTGTCAGTGTTGAAGATGGTAATGGGGGTGATGGTGATGGTATTGATGATGATGTTATTGTGATGTTGATGATGTCAGTGTTGAAGATGGTGATGGGGGTGATGGTGATGGTATTGATGATGTTGTAATTGTGATGTTGATGTTGTCAGTGTTGAAGATGGTGATGGGGGTGATGGTGATGGTATTGATGATGTTGTAATTGTGATGTTGATGTTGTCAGTGTTGAAGATGGTGATGGGGGTGATGGTGATGGTATTGATGATGATGTTATTGTGATGTTGTCAGTGTTGAAGATGGTGATGGGGGTGATGGTGATGGTGTTGATGATGTTGTAATTGTGATGTTGATGTTGCCAGTGTTGAAGATGGTGATGGTGATGGTATTGATGATGTTGTAATTGTGATGTTGTCAGTGTTGAAGATGGTGATGGGGGTGATGGTGATGGTGATGGTATTGATGATGTTGTTTATTGTGATGTTGATGTTGTCAGTGTTGAAGATGGTGATGGGGGTGATGGTGATGGTATTGATGATGATGTTATTGTCATGTTGATGTCAGTGTTGAAGATGGTGATGGGGGTGATGGTGATGGTATTGATGATGTTGTAATTGTGATGTTGATGTTGTCAGTGTTGAAGATGGTGATGGGGGTGATGGTGATGGTATTGATGATGTTGTAATTGTGATGTTGTCAGTGTTGAAGATGGTGATGGGGGTGATGGTGATGGTATTGATGATGTTGTAATTGTGATGTTGATGTTGTCAGTGTTGAAGATGGTGATGGGGGTGATGGTGATGGTATTGATGATGTTGTAATTGTGATGTTGTCAGTGTTGAAGATGGTGATGGGGGTGATGGTGATGGTATTGATGATGTTGTAATTGTGATGTTGATGTTGTCAGTGTTGAAGATGGTGATGGGGGTGATGGTGATGGTATTGATGATGATGTTATTGTGATGTTGATGTTGTCAGTGTTGAAGATGGTGATGGGGGTGATGGTGATGGTATTGATGATGTTGTAATTGTGATGTTGATGATGTCAGTGTTGAAGATGGTGATGGGGGTGATGGTGATGGTATTGATGTTATTGTGATGTTGATGTTGTCAGTGTTGAAGATGGTGATGGGGGTGATGGTGATGGTATTGATGATGATGTAATTGTGATGTTGATGTTGTCAGTGTTGAAGATGGTGATGGGGGTGATGGTGATGGTATTGATGATGTTATTGTGATGTTGATGTCAGTGTTGAAGATGGTGATGGGGGTGATGGTGATGGTATTGATGGTGATGTAAATGTGATGTTGATGTTGTCAGTGTTGAAGATGGTGATGGGGGTGATGGTGATGGTATTGATGATGGTGTAATTGTGATGTTGTCAGTGTTGAAGATGGTGATGGGGGTGATGGTGATGGTATTGATGGTGATGTAATTGTGATGTTGATGTTGTCAGTGTTGAAGATGGTGATGGGGGTGATGGTGATGGTATTGATGATGATTTTATTGTGATGTTGATGTTGTCAGTGTTGAAGATGGTGATGGGGGTGATGGTGATGGTATTGATGGTGATGTAATTGTGATGTTGATGTTGTCAGTGTTGAAGATGGTGATGGGGGTGATGGTGATGGTATTGATGATGGTGTAATTGTGATGTTGATGTTGTCAGTGTTGAAGATGGTGATGGGGGTGATGGTATTGATGATGGTGTAATTGTGATGTTAATGTTCCCAGTGTTGAAGATGGTGATGGGGGTGATGGTGATGGTATTGATGATGTTATTGTGATGTTGATGTTGTCAGTGTTGAAGATGGTGATGGGGGTGATGGGGGTGGTGATGACGTCACACTAACCAGAGACTCGAGCAACTAAAAGAGACTGCAGGTGCCTCCTTGTGTGATGATGCTGATGATGATGATTATACTGATGATGTTGTTGATGATGATGATGTTGATGATGATGTTGATTATGATGATGATGTTGATGATGATGTTGATGATGATGTTGATGATGATGTTGATGATGATGTTGATGATGTTGTTGATGATGTTGATGATGTTGATGATGCTGATGATGCTGATGATGATGTTGATGATGTTGATGATGATGATGTTGATGATGATGATGTTGATGATGTTGATGCTGATGATGATGATGTTGCTGATGATGTTGATGATGTTGATGATAGTGATGATAGTGATGATGTTGATGCTGATATTTATGATATTGATGCTGATGATAGTGATGATGATGTTGATGCTGATGATAGTGATGGTGATGTTGATGATGTTGATGATGATAGTGATGATGTTGATGCTGATGATGTTGCTGATGTTGATGATGATGTTGATGATGCTGATATTGATGTTGTTGATGATGTAGCTGATGATGATGTTGATGATGCTGATGATGCTGATGTTGCTGATGATGATGTTGCTGATTACGATGATGCTTATAATGATGCTGATGTTGCTGATGACGATAATGCTGCTGATGATGCTGCTGATGATGATTATACTGATGATGTTGATGATGATACTAATAATGATGATGATGGTGAGGATGTAGTGATGATGTTGATGATACTAATGATGATGTTTATGATGATGGTGATGTCGGTGAGGATGTAGTGATGATGATGATGATCTTGATGATGATGTTGATGGTGATGTCGGTGAGGATGTAGTGATGTAACTAATGATGGTGATGATGATGGTGATGTCGGTGAGGATGTAGTGATGACGTTGATGATGATACTAATGATGATGCTGATGGTGATGTCGGTGAGGATGTAGTGATGATGTTGATGATGATGATACTAATGATGCTGATGGTGATGTCGGTGAGGATGTAGTGATGATGATGATGATACTAATGTTGATGCTGATGGTGATGTCGGTGATGATGTAGTGATGATGTTGATGATGATGATACTAATGTTGATGCTGATGGTGATGTCGGTGAGGATGTAGTGATGACGTTGATGATGATACTAATGATGATGATGATGTCGGTGAGGATGTAGTGATGATGTTGATGATGATGATGACGATGTTGATGTCGGTGAGGATGTAGTGATGATGTTGATGATACTAATGATGTTGATGATGATGTCGGTGAGGATGTAGTGATGACGTTGATGATGCTAATGATGATGTTGATGATGATGATGGTGATGTCGGTGAGGATGTAGTGATGACGTTGATGATAATGATACTAATGATGATGATGATGGTGATGTTGGTGAGGATGTAGTGATGATGTTGATGATGATACTAATGATGATGATGTCGGTGAGGATGTAGTGATGACGTTGATGATACTAATGATGATGATGATGTCGGTGAGGATGTAGTGATGATGTTGATGATGCTAATGATGTTGATGATGATGTCGGTGAGGATGTAGTGATGATATTGATGATGATGATGATACTAATGATGATGATGTTGATGTCGGTGAGGATGTTGATGATGATACTAATGATGATGACGATGGTGATGTCGGTGAGGATGTAGTGATGATATTGATGATGATACTAATGATGATGATGATGTTGATGTCGGTGAGGATGTAGTGATGATGTTGATGATGATGATACTAATGATGATGATGACGATGTTGATGTCGGTGAGGATGTAGTGATGATGTTGATGATGATGATACTAATGATGATGACGATGTCGGTGAGGATGTAGTGATGATACTAATGATGTTGATGATGATGATGTTGATGTCGGTGAGGATGTAGTGATGATGTTGATGATGATGATGTCGGTGAGGATGTAGTGATGATACTAATGATGATGATGACGATGTTGATGTCGGTGAGGATGTAGTGATGATGTTGATGATGACGATACTAATGATGATGATGTCGGTGAGGATGTAGTGATGACGTTGATGATACTAATGATGATGATGATGTCGGTGAGGATGTAGTGATGATGTTGATGATGCTAATGATGTTGATGATGATGTCGGTGAGGATGTAGTGATGATACTAATGATGTTGATGATGGTGATGTCGGTGAGGATGTAGTGATGACGTTGATAATGATGATACTAATGATGATGATGACGATGTTGATGTCGGTGAGGATGTAGTGATGATGTTGATGATGATGATACTAATGATGATGATGATGGTGATGTCGGTGAGGATGTAGTGATGACGTTGACAATGATGATACTAATGATGATGATGACGATGTTGATGTCGGTGAGGATGTAGTGATGATGTTGATGATGATGATACTAATGATGATGACGATGTCGGTGAGGATGTAGTGATGATACTAATGATGTTGATGATGATGATGATGTTGATGTCGGTGAGGATGTAGTGATGATGTTGATGATGATGATGTCGGTGAGGATGTAGTGATGATACTAATGATGATGATGATGACGATGTTGATGTCGGTGAGGATGTAGTGATGATGTAGTGATGATGATGATACTAATGATGCTGATGGTGATGTCGGTGAGGATGTAGTGATGATGATGATGATACTAATGTTGATGCTGATGGTGATGTCGGTGATGATGTAGTGATGATGTTGATGATGATGATACTAATGTTGATGCTGATGGTGATGTCGGTGAGGATGTAGTGATGACGTTGATGATGATACTAATGATGATGATGATGATGTCGGTGAGGATGTAGTGATGATGTTGATGATGATGATGACGATGTTGATGTCGGTGAGGATGTAGTGATGATGTTGATGATACTAATGATGTTGATGATGATGTCGGTGAGGATGTAGTGATGACGTTGATGATGCTAATGATGATGTTGATGATGATGATGGTGATGTCGGTGAGGATGTAGTGATGACGTTGATGATAATGATACTAATGATGATGATGATGGTGATGTTGGTGAGGATGTAGTGATGATGTTGATGATGATACTAATGATGATGATTGTGTCGGTGAGGATGTAGTGATGACGTTGATGATACTAATGATGATGATGATGTCGGTGAGGATGTAGTGATGATGTTGATGATGCTAATGATGTTGATGATGATGTCGGTGAGGATGTAGTGATGATATTGATGATGATGATGATACTAATGATGATGATGTTGATGTCGGTGAGGATGTTGATGATGATACTAATGATGATGACGATGGTGATGTCGGTGAGGATGTAGTGATGATATTGATGATGATACTAATGATGATGATGATGTTGATGTCGGTGAGGATGTAGTGATGATGTTGATGATGATGATACTAATGATGATGATGACGATGTTGATGTCGGTGAGGATGTAGTGATGATGTTGATGATGATGATACTAATGATGATGACGATGTCGGTGAGGATGTAGTGATGATACTAATGATGTTGATGATGATGATGTTGATGTCGGTGAGGATGTAGTGATGATGTTGATGATGATGATGTCGGTGAGGATGTAGTGATGATACTAATGATGATGATGACGATGTTGATGTCGGTGAGGATGTAGTGATGATGTTGATGATGACGATACTAATGATGATGATGTCGGTGAGGATGTAGTGATGACGTTGATGATACTAATGATGATGATGATGTCGGTGAGGATGTAGTGATGATGTTGATGATGCTAATGATGTTGATGATGATGTCGGTGAGGATGTAGTGATGATACTAATGATGTTGATGATGGTGATGTCGGTGAGGATGTAGTGATGACGTTGATAATGATGATACTAATGATGATGATGACGATGTTGATGTCGGTGAGGATGTAGTGATGATGTTGATGATGATGATACTAATGATGATGATGATGGTGATGTCGGTGAGGATGTAGTGATGACGTTGACAATGATGATACTAATGATGACGATGTTGATGTCGGTGAGGATGTAGTGATGATGTTGATGATGATGATACTAATGATGATGACGATGTCGGTGAGGATGTAGTGATGATACTGATGATGTTGATGTCGGTGAGGATGTAGTGATGATGTTGATGATGATGATGTCGGTGAGGATGTAGTGATGATACTAATGATGATGATGATGACGATGTTGATGTCGGTGAGGATGTAGTGATGATGTAGTGATGATGATGATACTAATGATGATGATGACGATGGTGATGTCGGTGAGGATGTAGTGATGATGTTGATGATGATGATACTAATGATGATGATGTCGGTGAGGATGTAGTGATGATGTTGATGATGATGATACTAATAATACTAATGATGATGTTGTTGACGATGTCGGTGATGATGTAGTGATGATATTGATGATGACGATACTAATGATGATGTTGATGACGATGTCGATGAGGATGTAGTGATGTAACTAATGATGGTGATGATGATGGTGATGTCGGTGAGGATGTAGTGATGTAACTAATGATGGTGATGATGATGGTGATGTCGGTGAGGATGTAGTGATGTAACTAATGATGGTGATGATGATGGTGATGTCGGTGAGGATGTAGTGATGTAACTAATGATGATGTTGATGACGATGTCGGTGATGATGTAGTGATGCCGTCACCGCCACCTCGTCGCCCCCGCCGCCTTCGTCTGCTGCACCTTGTAGCCATCATCAGCGGAGTCTTCACCCTCGCACTCTGGCTGCTGATGGGCTGCGGGCCGGACCCAGCCGCTGGACAGCGCGGAGGAGGTGGAGGAGGTGGAGGAGGTGGAGGAGGTGGAGGAGGTGGAGGAGAGATGAGGAGGAGGAGGGGGGAAGGAAGATATATGAACGACACTGACAAGGTGATGGTGGTGGTGATGGTGATGGTGGTCGAGGTGGAGGTTGTGGTGGTGATGGAGGTGGTGATGGTGGTGGTGGTGGGGGTGGTGATGGTGGTGGTGATGGTGGTGGTGGGGGTGATGGTGATGATGGTGGTGATGGTGATGGTAGTGATGGTGATGATGGTAGTGGTGGTGGTGATGGTGTTGGGTGATGGTGATGTCGGTGTTGTTGTTGATGATAGTGATGGTGCTGTTGTTGATGATAGTGATGATGATGGTGTTGTTGTTGGTGGTGGTGTTGGTGGTGGTGATGATGGTGATGATGATGGTGGTGGTGTTGGTGTTGTTGTTGATGATGTTGGTGCTGTTGTTGATGATAGTGATGATAGTGATGATGATGTTGTTGGTGGTGTTGGTGTTGTTGATGATAGTGATGGTGCTGTTGTTGATGATAGTGATGATGATGGTGCTGTTGTTGATGATAGTGATGATAGTGGTGATGATGATGTTGTTGGTGGTGTTGATGTTGTTGATGATAGTGATGATGATGATGGTGGTGTTGTTGTTGGTGGTGTTGGTGATGATGATGGTGGTGGTGATGGTGGTGATGATGGTGATGATGATGGTGGTGGTGTTGTTGATGATATTGATGATGATGGTGTTGTTGTTGGTGGTGATGGTGTTGGTGGTGATGATGGTGGTGGTGATGATGATGATGGTGGTGTTGGTGGTGTTGTTGATGATAGTGATGATGATGGTGTTGTTGTTGGTGGTGGTGTTGGTTTTGTTGATGATAGTGATGGTGTTGTTGGTGGTGTTGTTGATGATAGTGATGATGATGGTGGTGGTGATGGTGGTGGTGTTGGTGTTGTTGATGATGGTGTTGTTGGTGGTGTTGATGATAGTGATGATGATGGTGTTGTTGTTGTTGGTGGTGATGGTGGTGGTGATGATGATGGTGGTGTTGGTGGTGTTGTTGATGATAGTGATGATGATGGTGTTGTTTTTGGTGGTAGTGGTGGTGGTGGTGTTGTTGATGATAGTAATGATGGTGTTGTTGGTGTTGTTGATGATGATGGTGTTGTTGTTGTTGGTGGTGTTGATGATGATGGTGTTGTTGTTTTTGGTGGTAGTGGTGGTGGTGGTGTTGTTGATGATGGTGTTGTTGGTGGTGTTGGTGTTGTTGATGATGATGGTGTTGTTGGTGGTGTTGGTGTTGTTGATGATGATGGTGTTGTTGTTGGTGGTGTTGATGATAGTGATGATGATGGTGTTGTTGTTGGTGGTGGTGTTGGTGGTGGTGTTGGTGGTGGTGATGATGGTGATGATGATGGTGGTGGTGTTGTTGTTGATGATGTTGGTGCTGTTGTTGATGATAGTGATGATAGTGATGATGATGTTGTTGGTGGTGTTGGTGTTGTTGATGATAGTGATGGTGCTGTTGTTGATGATAGTGATGATGATGGTGCTGTTGTTGATGATAGTGATGATAGTGGTGATGATGATGTTGTTGGTGGTGTTGATGTTGTTGATGATAGTGATGATGATGATGGTGGTGTTGTTGTTGGTGGTGTTGGTGGTGATGCTGGTGATGATGATGGTGGTGGTGATGGTGGTGATGATGGTGATGATGATGGTGGTGGTGTTGTTGATGATATTGATGATGATGGTGTTGTTGTTGGTGGTGATGGTGTTGGTGGTGATGATGGTGGTGGTGATGATGATGATGGTGGTGTTGGTGGTGTTGTTGATGATAGTGATGATGATGGTGTTGTTGTTGGTGGTGGTGTTGGTTTTGTTGATGATAGTGATGGTGTTGTTGGTGGTGTTGTTGATGATAGTGATGATGATGGTGGTGGTGATGGTGGTGGTGTTGGTGTTGTTGATGATGGTGTTGTTGGTGGTGTTGATGATAGTGATGATGATGGTGTTGTTGTTGTTGGTGGTGATGGTGGTGGTGATGATGATGGTGGTGTTGGTGGTGTTGTTGATGATAGTGATGATGATGGTGTTGTTGTTTTTGGTGGTAGTGGTGGTGGTGGTGTTGTTGATGATAGTAATGATGGTGTTGTTGGTGTTGTTGATGATGATGGTGTTGTTGTTGTTGGTGGTGTTGATGATGATGGTGTTGTTGTTTTTGGTGGTGGTGGTGTTGTTGATGATGGTGTTGTTGGTGGTGTTGGTGTTGTTGATGATGATGGTGTTGTTGGTGGTGTTGGTGTTGTTGATGATGATGGTGTTGTTGTTGGTGGTGTTGATGATAGTGATGATGGTGTTGTTGTTTTTGGTGGTGTTGGTGGTGTTGTTGATGATAGTGATGATGGTGTTGTTGGTGGTGTTGGTGGTGATGATGGTGATGATGATGGTGTTGTTGTTGATGATGATGATGGTGGTGGTGTTGGTGTTGGTGTTGATGATGATAATGATGATGATGGTGTTGTTGTTGTTGATGATAGTGATGATGTTGTTGGTGTTGTTGATGATGATGTTGGTGCTGTTGTTGATGATAGTGATGATGATGATGGTGTTGTTGTTGTTGATGATAGTGATGATGTTGTTGTTGTTGGTGTTGTTGTTGATGATGATGTTGGTGCTGTTGTTGATGATAGTGATGATGATGATGGTGTTGTTGTTGTTGTTGACGATAGTGATGGTGTTGTTGATGATAGTGATGATAGTGATGATGATGATGATGGTGTTGTTGTTGTTGTTGTTGATGATAGTGATGGTGTTGTTGACGATAGTGATGATAGTGATGATGATGGTGGTGTTGATGTTGTTGTTGATGTTGGTGTTGTTGATGATAGTGATGGTGTTGTTGATGATAGTGATGATGATGGTGATGTTGATGATGGTGTTGTTGGTGTTGTTGATGATAGTGATGATAGTGATGATGTTGTTGTTGTTGACGATAGTGATGGTGTTGTTGATGATAGTGATGTTGGTGGTGTTGTTGTTGTTGTTGACGATAGTGATGGTGTTGTTGATGATAGTGATGATAGTGATGATGATGATGATGATGGTGTTGTTGTTGTTGTTGATGATAGTGATGGTGTTGTTGACGATAGTGATGATAGTGATGATGATGATGTTGTTGTTGATGTTGTTGTTGTTGATGATCCCAGGCGGTGAGCCACCTCTACCAAGATGACGATGGGGTGGAGCTGGCAGCAGCGGAGGAGGAGGAGGAGGAGGCGGTGGAGGAGGTGGACGACTTCAGGGGTGGTGGTGGACCTCTGTCATGGGGACCACACGTGCTGTCCGTGCTCGTTCCGTTCCGCGGGCGGTGGGAGCAGCTGCTCGTGATGGTTCCTCACCTCCACCGATTCCTCCGGGCACAGCGAGTCAGACACCACATCCTGGTCGTGCACCAGCTGGACACGCTGCGGTGAGATGGTGGCGGTGATGGGGGTGGTGATGGGGGAGGTGATGGGGGTGATGGTGGTGATGGGGGTGATGGGGGTGATGGGGGTGATGATGGGGGTGATGATGGGGGTGATGATGGGGGTGATGGGGGTGATGGGGGTGATGGGGGTGATGGGGGTGATGGGGGTGATGGGGGAGTGATGGCGGTGATGGTGGTGATGGGGAGTCAGACACCACATCCTGGTCGTGCACCAGCTGGACACGCTGCGGTGAGATGGGGGCGGTGGTGATGGTGGTGGTGATGGGGGTGGTGATGGGGGAGTGATGGGGAGTGATGGGGGTGATGGGGGTGATGGGTGTGATGGGGGAGTGATGGCGGTGGTGATGGGAGTGATGGGGAGTCAGACACCACATCCTAGTCGTGCACCAGCTGGACACGCTGCGGTGAGATGGGGGCGGTGGTGATGGTGGTGGTGATGGGGGAGGTGATGGTGATGATGGGGGTGATGGGGGTGATGGGGGTGATGGGGGTGATGGGGGTGATGGGGGTGATGGGGGTGATGGGGGTGATGGGGGTGATGGGGGTGATGGGGGTGATGGGGGTGATGGGGGTGATGGGGGAGTGATGGGGAGTCAGACACCACATCCTGGTCGTGCACCAGCTGGACACGCTGCGGTGAGATGGGGGTGGTGGTGATGGTGGTGGTGATGGGGGTGATGGTGGTGTGATGGGGGAGTGATGGGAGTGATGGGGAGTCAGACACCACATCCTGGTCGTGCACCAGCTGGACACGCTGCGGTGAGATGGTGGTGGTGATGGGGGTGATGGCGGTGATGGGGGAGTGATGGCGGTGATGGGGGAGTGATGGGGGTGATGGGGGAGTGATGGGGGTGATGATGGGAGTGATGGGGGTGATGGGGAGTCAGACACCACATCCTGGTCGTGCACCAGCTGGACACGCTGCGGTGAGATGGGGGCGGTGGTGATGGTGGTGGTGATGGGGGTGATGGTGGTGATGGGGGAGTGATGGGGGTGATGGGGGTGATGGGGGGTGATGGGGGAGTGATGGGGAGTCAGACACCACATCCTGGTCGTGCACCAGCTGGACACGCTGCGGTGAGATGGGGGCGGTGGTGATGGTGGTGGTGATGGGGGTGATGGTGGTGATGGGGGAGTGATGGGGGTGATGGTGAGTCAGACACCACATCCTGGTCGTGCACCAGCTGGACATGCTGCGGTGAGATGGCGGTGGTGATGGTGGTGATGGGGGAGTGATGGCGGTGATGGTGGTGATGGTGAGTCAGACACCACATCCTGGTCGTGCACCAGCTGGACACGCTGCGGTGAGATGGGGGCGGTGGTGATGGTGGTGGTGATGGGGGTGATGGTGGTGATGGGGGAGTGATGGGGGTGATGGGGAGTCAGACACCACATCCTGGTCGTGCACCAGCTGGACATGCTGCGGTGAGATGGCGGTGGTGATGGTGGTGATGGGGGAGTGATGGCGGTGATGGTGGTGATGGTGAGTCAGACACCACATCCTGGTCGTGCACCAGCTGGACACGCTGCGGTGAGATGGGGGCGGTGGTGATGGTGGTGGTGATGGGGGTGATGGTGGTGATGGGGGAGTGATGGGGGTGATGGGGAGTCAGACACCACATCCTGGTCGTGCACCAGCTGGACACTCTGCGGTGAGATGGCGGTGGTGGTGATGGGGGTGATGGTGGTGATGGGGGAGTGATGGGGGTGATGGGGGTGATGGGGGTGATGATGGGAGTGATGGGGGTGATGGGGAGTCAGACACCACATCCTGGTCGTGCACCAGCTGGACACTCTGCGGTGAGATGGCGGCGGTGATGATGGGGGTGATGGCGGTGATGGGGGTGGTGATGGGGGTGATGGGGGTGATGGTCATGGGGGGGTGATGGTGATGGGGAGTCAGACACCACATCCTGGTCGTGCACCAGCTGGACACTCTGCGGTGAGATGGGGGCAGTGATGGGGGTGATGGGGGTGATGGGGGGTGATGGGGGGGGGAGTGATGGGGGGATGATGGGGGGGAGAGGGGGGTAATGGGGATGGTGATGGTGGGAGTGATGGTGGGAGTGATGGGGAGATGGGAGAGGGTGATGGGAGGGTGATGGAGGTTCGGAGAGCCGTGAGGCGCTGCAAGGATGGGTGGTGGTCGCGGGTTGCTGAGGAGATGGAGTCTGCCTCAGTGGCCCGCGATCACAAATCTCTTTTTAACTCCATCATCAAAAAAGTAACCTGCAGCGCCACACCTATTACCATCATTAGGGGAAAAAACGGTGATCCAATCTCCGACCCCTAGGAACAGGTTTGCAGATTTGCTGAGCATTTCTGTGAGGTCCTGGGGGAGGGGAAATCCCTCGGCCAGGAAAACATCGTGGCACAAAGTGAGGATGACCCTGCTGAGGCTGCGGTGCCTCAAATATTGGAAGAAGTCACCCCCTGTGAGTGGCTGGCTGAGGTGCCATCAGTTGAGGAAGTATTGAAGGCGATCCGGAGTCTGAGACCAGGAAAGGCAGCGGGCAGAGATGATATCCCAAGCGAAATGCTGAGGGAGGGTGGCGTTTGTGCACAGCCTGCCCTACATGACATAACAACAGTCTGGACCACTGGACGGGTTCCGCAGGATTGGAAGGATGCCCTGGTGGTCCCCCTCTTTAAGAAGGGGGACCGCACAGACTGTAACAACTACAGGGGCATCTCACTCCTCAGTGTGCCGGGAAAGGTCCTGGCAAGGATTATTCAACATCGCCTTGCCAGGCACGCTGAGGAGAGGCTTGCGGAGCCCCAATGCGGTTTCAGGAAAGGGCGGTCCTGCACTGATGCCATATTTTCAGTCCGTCTGCTACAGCAGAGGTGTAGGGAATTCCAACAAGACCTACATCTCTGCTCTACTGACCTGGTCAAGGCCTATGATACCATCAGTAGGCCTGGGCTCTGGGTTGTTCTTCGTGCTTTTGGAGTCCCTGACCCTCTGCTCGCGATCATTAAGGACCTTCATGATGGTGAGCGGGCCCGGGTAAAACTACGTGGCCGGGAGTCAGAGCCATTCCCTGTACACCTTGGGTGCAAAATTAATGAACATTTATTTTGACCACGTAGTTCATGAGGCCTTCAATAGCTGTACCGGAATAATTTCCATCTGGTATAGATATAATGGGAGGCTGATCGATACCCGGGTGTGGTCAAGGGATGGCTCCCTATTGCTCAACCACGTTATGTATGCTGATGATTTGGTAATAGCTGCTCATTCAGAGGAGGAGTTGGAGACACTGCTGCTGAGACTGGAGCGTGCCACTAAGAGGTGGGGCCTTACCATCAGCCCCACCAAAACTAAGCACCTGCCTGGGTATTTTGTACCATCGGACACTCCACCCCCACAACTCCCAATCGGTGATGGGGCAGTTGTGGAGAGAGTGGAGAGTTTCCCATACCTGGGCAGTGTGCTTATGACTGGCTCCAGTTTAACAGCAGAGGTCTCACTCCGAATCAGTCGAGCGGCAATATCTTTTCATCTGTTGCGTAACGCTGTGTGGAAGCTACCTGGTCTGTCGCTCCGCACTAAGCTTCAGGTCTTCTCGGCCACGGTCATTCCCTCCCTTCTCTAGGCTTGCGAAACGTGGACCCCCCTAATGGAACATCTTCGCCGGTTAGAAACATTTAGGCTGGCCTGCCTACGATCCATCCTGATTTTAACCAGACTGGATTGTGTGAGGAGCTCACAAATCCTTGAAAGATCTGGGCAGGGTCCCATCGGTGAGCTCCTCCGGCAGGCAAGGCTGCGATGGCTGGGTCATGTAGCTTGCATGCCCAGCCACCGCATGCCGAAACAGCTTTTGTTTGGCCGGATCGAGGGGGCTAAGCGGGCGCGGCACGGGCTAGAGAAGAGATGGGGTGATGTGGTACAGGAGGACGTGGAGCTGAGTGGACTTGCCGATGACTGGTACCAGCGGTGTCAAGATCGGCCTCTGTGGAGGAGGCTCGTGAAGGACGCTACTGGGCAGTTGGAGGTAGTCGCCCTCCAACAACAACGGAGGGCGGAGGAGCGACGCTCACAACAACGAGCGGAGCGCCGGGTGGCTAAAGCACAGCGGGTTGGCACAGTAGGGGGCACAGGTGGTGCATCAGCCAGTCATCTCAGTCAGTCGACCCGTGGCACCTGCTGGGTCTGCCCCGTGACCTCCTGCCAGCGGGCGTTCGACACTTCACGTGGCCTCAGGGTGCACATGGCCTGGCACAAGCGTCGTGGTGACGTCACCGCCACTTAGTGGCGAATGGCGGTTGTTGTTGTGTTGTTGTGGTGTGTGTGTGTGGTGTGTATGTGTGTAGTGTATGTGTGTATACGTGTGTGTGTGTAGTGTGTGTGTGTATACGTGTGTGTGTGTGTAGTGTGTGTGTGTATATACGTGTGTGTGTGTAGTGTGTGTGTATATATGTGTGTGTGTAGTGTGTGTGTGTATATACGTGCGTGTGTGTGTCTATGTGTGTGTGTGTAGTGTGTGTCTATGTGTGTGTGTGTAGTGTGTGTCTATGTGTGTGTGTGTGTAGTGTGTGTATATACGTGTGTGTGTGTGTCTATGTGTGTGTAGTGTGTGGGTATGTGTGTGTAGTGTGTGTATTTACGTGTGTGTGTGTATATACGTGTGTGTGTGTATACGTGTGTGTATACGTGTGTGTGTAGTGTGTGTGTGTCTGTGTGTGTGTGTAGTGTGTGTATATACGTGTGTGTAGTGTGTATATATACGTGTGTGTGTAGTGTGTGTGTATATTTACACGTGTTTGTGTGCATGCGTGCGTCTGCGCGTACAGCTTCAACCGGGCTGCCCTCATCAACGCAGGCTTCCTGCTGAGTCCGAATCACAGCGACTACGTCGCCATGCATGACGTTGACCTGTTACCCCTCAACCCGGCGTTGAACTATGGCTTCCCGGCACGGGGGCCCTTCCACGTGGCTGCTCCGCATCTTCACCCCCTCTACCACTACCCCACTTTCGTCGGCGGCATTCTGATCATCACCAAGGAACACTACCGCAAGGTTGGGACGCTGAGTCAGTGAGTGAGTGAGTGAGTCAGTGAGTGAGTGAGTCAGTCAGCGAGTGAGTGAGTCACTCAGTCAGCCGCTCGGTCACTCAGACAGTCGGCGAGTCAGTCAGTGAGTCAGTCAGTGAGTCAGTCAGTGAGTCAGTCAGTGAGTCAGTCAGTGAGTCAGTCAGTCGGTCACTCAGTCAGTGAGTCAGTCAGTCGGTCGGTCACTCAGTCAGTGAGTCAGTCAGTGAGTCAGTCGCTCGATCACTCAGCCAGTCAGCGAGTCAGTCAGTGAGTCAGTCAGTGAGTCAGTGAGTGAGTCACTCAGTCAGCCACTCGGTCACTCAGACAGTCGGCGAGTCAGTCAGTGAGTCAGTCAGTCGGTCACTCAGTCAGCGAGTCAGTCAGTGAGTCAGTCAGTCAGTGAGTGAGTCACTCAGTCAACCACTCACTCAGTCAGTCAACCACTCAGTCAGTCAACCACTCACTCACTCAGTCAGTCACTCAGTCAGTCAACCACTTACTCACTCACTGAGTCACTCACTCAGTCAGTCAACCACTCACTCGGTCAGTCAACCACTCACTCAGTCAACCATCACTCTGTCAGTCAACCACTCACTCACTCAGTCAGTCAGTGAATCAACCACTCACTCAGTCACACTCAGTCAGTCAACCACTCACTCAGTAAACCACTCACTCACTCAATCACTCACTCAGTCAGTCAGTCACCACTCACTCAGTCAGTCAACCACTCACTCAGTCACTTACTCAGTCAGTCAGTCAACCACTCACTCAATCAGTCAACCACTCAGTCAGTCAACCACTCACTCACTCAGTCAACAACTCACTCAGTCAGTCAACCACTTACTCACTCAGTCAGTCAACCACTCTCAGTCAACAACTCACTCAGTCAGTTAACCAATCACTCAGTCAGTCAACCACCCAGTCAGTCAACCACTCACTCAGTCAACCACTCACTCAGTCAGTCAGTCAGTCAAAAACTCACTCAGTCAGTTAACCACTCACTCAGTCAGTCAACCACTCACTCAGTCAACAACTCACTCAGTCAGTCACTCACTCAGTCAGTCATCCACTCACTCAGTCAACCACTCACTCAGTCAACAACTCACTCAGTCAGTCACTCACTCAGTCAGTCAACCACTCAGTCAGTCAACCACTCAACCAGTCAGTCAACCACTCACTCAGTCACTCACTCAGTCAGTCAACAACTCACTCAGTCAGTCACTCACTCAGTCAGTCAACCACTCAGTCAGTCAACCACTCAACCAGTCAGTCAACCACTCACTCAGTCACTCACTCAGTCAGTCAACCACTCACTCAGTCAACCACTCACTCAGTCAGTCAACCACTCACTCACTCAGTCAGTCACTCAGTCAGTCAACCACTTACTCACTCACTGAGTCACTCACTCAGTCAGTCAACCACTGACTCACTCAGTCAACCACTCACTCAGTCAACCACTCAGTCAGTCAGTCAGTCAACCACTCACTCAGTAAGTCAACCACTCACTCAGTCACTCACTCAGTCAGTCAAGCACTCACTCAGTCAGTCACTCAGTCAGTCAACCACTCACTCAGTCAGTCAACCAATCACTCAGTCAGTCAACCACCCAGTCAGTCAACCACTCACTCAGTCAACCACTCACTCAGTCAGTCAGTCAGTCAAAAACTCACTCAGTCAGTTAACCACTCACTCAGTCAGTCACTCACTCAGTCAGTCAACAACTCAGTCAGTCAACCACTCACTCAGTCAACAACTCAGTCAGTCACTCACTCAGTCAGTCATCCACTCACTCAGTCAACCACTCAGTCAGTCAACCACTCAGTCAGTCAACCACTCACTCAGTCAACAACTCACTCAGTCAGTCAACCGCTCACTCAGTCAGTCACTCACTCAGTCAGTCATCCACTCACTCAGTCAACCACTCACTCAGTCAACCACTCACTCAGTCAACAACTCACTCAGTCAGTCACTCACTCAGTCAGTCAACCACTCAGTCAGTCAGTCAACCACCCACTCAGTCAGTCAACCACTTACTCAGTCAGTCACTCACTCAGTCAGTCAACCGCTCACTCGGTCAGTCAACCACTCAGTGAGTCAACCACTCAGTCAACCACTCACTCACTCAGTCAGTCAGTCAACCACTCAGTCAGTCACTCACTCTCTCTCTGTACTCTGTGTGTATCAACGCTCATGGCCAACACCACCAGTGACAGCGATAAGCTGAGCCGGTCCTGGTGCCTCCCCTAGGTCGACTCAGCCTCAAATGAGTACCTGGTGTAGCGGTGGTGTAGTGGTGGTGGTGGTGTAGTGGTGGTGGTGTAGTAGTAGTGGTGGTGGTGGTGTAGTGGTGGTGGTGGTGTAGTGGTGGTGGTGTAGTGGTGGTGGTGTAGTGGTGGTGTAGTGGTGGTAGTGGTGGTGGTGGTGCTGGCCACCCACCCCCTCTGTGTGTAGCCACAGTGCCGGTAGCCTTCACAGACGTTGCTGCTGCTACTCGCTACTAACACAGCACTTGCCCCTACTGCCTGTTACAGGCTACACGGGGGACCTTTGTCTGTGTGTCAAAACTCACTGCTGCTGCTACTCGCTACTAACACAGCACTTGCCCCTACTGCCTGTTACAGGCTACACGGGGGACCTTTGTCTGTGTGTCAATACTCACTGCTGCTGCTACTCGCTACTGACAGCACTTGCCCCTACAGTCTGTTACAGGCTACACGGGGGACCTTTGTCTGTGTGTCAATACTCACTGCTGCTGCTACTCGCTACTGACAGCACTTGCCCCTACAGTCTGTTACAGGCTACACGGGGGACCTTTGTCTGTGTGTCAATACTCACTGCTGCTGCTACTCGCTACTGACAGCACTTGCCCCTGCTGCGTGTGAAAGGCTACACGGGGGACCTTTGTCTGTGTCCTCAGTGCAATGGACTGTCAAATCGATTCTGGGGATGGGGTCGTGAAGATGATGAATTCTACAAGAGGATGATGGAGGCAGGGTTAGAGGTACTACTCAGCTACTCACTCAGCTACTCACTCAGCTACTCACTCAGCTACTCACTACTCACTCAGCTACTCACTCAGCTACTCACTACTCACTCAGCTACTCACTCAGCTACTCACTACTCACTCAGCTACTCACTCAGTCACTCAGCCACTTACTCAGACAGCTACTCACTCAGCTACTCACTCAGCTACTCACTACTCACTCAGCTACTCAGCTACTCACTCAGCTACTCACTCAGCTACTCACTCAGTCAGCTACTCACTCAGCTACTCACTACTCACTCACCTACTCACTCAGCTACTCACTCAGTCACTCAGTCACTCAGCCACCTACTCAGACAGCTACTCACTCAGCTACTCAGCTACTCACTACTCACTCAGCTACTCACTCAGCTACTCACTACTCACTCAGCTACTCACTCAGTCACTTACTCAGCTACTCACTACTCAGCTACTCTGTCACTCACTCACTACTCACTCAGTCAGATACTTACTCAGTCACTCACTCACTCACCTACTCACTCAGCTACTCACTCAGCTGCTCACTCAGCTACTCAGTCACTCAGCCACTCAGTCAGCTACTCACTCAGCTACTCACTCAGCTACTCACTCAGCTACTCACTACTCACTCAGCTACTCACTCAGCTACTCACTACTCAGCTACTCTGTCACTCACTCACTACTCACTCAGTCAGATACTTACTCAGTCACTCACTCAGCTACTCACTCAGCTACTCACTCAGCTGCTCACTCAGCTACTCACTCAGCTACTCACTCAGCTACTCACTCAGCTACTCACTCAGCTACTCACTACTCACTCAGCTACTCACTCAGCTACTCACTCAGCTACTCAGTCACCCACTCAGCTACTCACTACTCACTCAGCTACTCTGTCACTCACTCACTACTCACTCAGTCAGATACTTACTCAGTCACTCACTCAGCTGCTCACTCAGCTACTCAGTCACTCAGCCACTCACTACTCAGTCAGCTACTCACTCAGCTACTCACTCAGCTACTCACTCACCTACTCACTCAGCTACTCCCTCAGCTACTCACTCAGTCACCCAGTCACTCAGCCACCTACTCAGACAGCTACTCACTCAGCTACTCAGCTACTCACTACTCACTCAGCTACTCACTCAGCTACTCACTACTCACTCAGCTACTCACTCACCTACTCACTCAGCTACTCACTACTCACTCACCTACTCACTCAGCTACTCCCTCAGCTACTCAGTCACTCAGTCACTCAGCCACCTAATCAGACAGCTACTCACTCAGCTACTCAGCTACTCACTACTCACTCAGCTACTCACTCAGCTACTCACTACTCACTCAGCTACTCACTCAGTCACTTACTCAGCTACTCACTACTCAGCTACTCTGTCACTCACTCACTACTCACTCAGTCAGATACTTACTCAGTCACTCACTCACTCACCTACTCACTCAGCTACTCACTCAGCTGCTCACTCAGCTACTCAGTCACTCAGCCACTCAGTCAGCTACTCACTCAGCTACTCACTCAGCTACTCAGCTACTCACTACTCACTCAGCTACTCACTCAGCTACTCACTACTCACTCACCTACTCACTCAGCTACTCCCTCAGCTACTCAGTCACTCAGTCACTCAGCCACCTACTCAGACAGCTACTCACTCAGCTACTCAGCTACTCACTACTCAGCTACTCACTCAGCTACTCATTACTCACTCAGCTACTTACTCAGTCACTCACTCAGCTACTCACTACTCACTCAGCTACTCACTCAGTCACTCACTCAGCTACTCACTACTCACTCAGCTACTCACTCAGTCACTCACTCAGCTACTCACTACTCAGCTACTCTGTCACTCACTCACTACTCACTCAGTCAGATACTTACTCAGTCACTCACTCACTCAGCTACTCACTCAGCTGCTCACTCAGCTGCTCACTCACCTACTCAGTCACTCAGCCACTCACTACTCACTCAGCTACTCACTCAGCTACTCAGTCACTCAGCCACTCACTCAGTCAGCTACTCACTCAGCTACTCACTCATCTACTCACCCAGTTACTCACTCAGCTACTCACTCAGCTACTCACTCAGTCAGCTATTTACTCATCTACTGACTCAGATACTCACTCAGATACTCACCCAGCTACTCACTCATTCACTCAGCTACTCACTCAGCTACTCACTCAGTCAGTCAGTCACTTAGTCACTCAGCCACTCACTCACTCAGCTACTCACTCAACTACTCATTCAGCTACTCACTCACTCAGCTACTCACTCAGTCACTCAGTCACTCAGCCACTTATTCAGACAGCTACTCACTCAGCTACTCACTCATCTACTCACCCAGCTACTCATTCAGCTGCTCACTCAGCTACTCACCCAGCTACTCACTCACTCACTCAGCTATTCACTCACTCAGTCACTCACTCACCCAGCTAATCACTCAGCCACTCAGCTACTCACTCACTCAGCTACTCACTCAGCCACTCAGCCACTCACTCAGTCAGCTACTCACTCAGCTACTCACTCAGCTACTCACTCAGTCAGTCAGTCACTTAGTCACTCAGCCACTCAGCCACTCACTCAGTCAGCTACTCACTCAGCTACTCACTCAGCTACTCACTCATCTACTCACCCAGCTACTCACTCAGCTACTAACTCAGCTACTCACTCAGTCAGCTACTTACTCAGCTACTGACTCAGATACTCACTCAGATAATCACCCAGCTACTCACTCACTTAGCTACTCACTCAGTCAGTCACTCAGTCACTCAGCCACTCACCCACTCAGCTACTCACTCAGCTACTCACTCAGCTACTCACTTGTGTGTGTCTGTGTGTGTATGTGTGTGTGTCTGTCTGTGTGTCTGTGTGTGTGTCTGTGTCTTTGTGTCTTTGTCTCTGTGTGTGTGTCTGTGTGTGTGTCTCTGTGTCTGTGTGTGTCTATGTGTGTGTCTGTGTGTCTGTGTGTGTGTGTGTGTGTCTCTGTGTGTGTCTGTGTGTGTGTGTATCTGTGTGTCTGTGTGTGTCTGTGTCTGTGTGTGTGTATCTGTGTGTGTGTGTCTGTGTGTGTGTATGTGTGTGTGTGTATCTGTGTGTGTGTGTCTGTGTGTGTGTGTATCTGTGTGTCTGTGTGTATGTGTGTGTGTATGTGTGTGTGTGTATCTGTGTGTGTGTGTCTGTGTGTGTGTGTATCTGTGTGTCTGTGTGTGTGTCTGTGTGTGTGCGTGTTTCAGGTGTTCAGGCCGCAGGGCCTGTCCAGCAGTAGAGAGAACACGTTCAGGCACCTTCACGACCCCAAACAGCACAAACGTGATCAGCGCAGAGTGGGGGACCAGAAGAAGGTGACTCACCTACTCACCTACTCACTCACCTACTCACCTACTCACCTACTCACTCACCTACTCACTCACCTACTCACCTACTCACTCACATACTCACTCACCCACTCACTCACCTACTCACTCACCTACTCACCTACTCACTCACCTACTCACTCACCTACTCACTCACCTACTCACCTACTCACCTACTTACTCACCTACTCACTCACCTACTCACCTACTCACTCACCTACTCACCTACTCACCTACTCACCTACTCACTCACCTACTCACTCACCATCTCACTCACCTACTCACCTACTCACTCACCTACTCACTCACCTACTCACCTACTCACTCACCTACTCACCTACTCACTCACATACTCACTCACCCACTCACTCACCTACTCACTCACCTACTCACCTACTCACCTACTCACTCACCTACTCACTCACCTACTCACCTACTCACTCACCTACTCACCTACTCACTCACCTACTCACTCACCTACTCACCTACTCACTCACCTACTCACTCACCTACTCACTCACCTACTCACTCACCTACTCACTCACCTACTCACCTACTCACTCACCTACTCACCTACTCACTCACCTACTCACCTACTCACTCACCTACTCACCTACTCACTCACCTACTCACCTACTCACTCACCTACTCACTCATTCACCCACTCACCTACTCACCTACTCACTCACCTACTCACCTACTCACTCACCTACTCACCTACTCACTCACCTACTCACCTACTCACTCACCTACTCACTCACCTACTCACTCACCTACTCACCTACTCACTCACCTACTCACTCACCTACTCACCTACTCACTCACCTACTCACTCACCTACTCACTCACCTACTCACCTACTCACCTACTCACTCACCTACTCACTCACCTACTCACCTACTCACTCACCTACTCACTCACCTACTCACTCACCTACTCACCTACTCACTCACCTACTCACCTACTCACCTACTCACTCACCTACTCACTCATTCACCCACTCACTCACTCACCTACTCACCTACTCACCTACTCACTCACCTACTCACCTACTCACTCACCTACTCACCTACTCACCTACTCACTCACCTACTCACCTACTCACTCACCTACTCACCTACTCACTCACATACTCACTCACCCACTCACCTGCTCACCTACTCACTCACCTACTCACTCACCTACTCACCTACTCACTCACCTACTCACTCACCTACTCACCTACTCACTCACCTTCTCACCTACTCACCTACTCACTCACCTACTCACTCACCTACACTCTCACCTACTCACCTACTCACTCAGCTACTCACTCACCTACTCACTCACCTACTCACTCACCTACTCACCTACTCACTCACCTACTCACTCACCTACTCACCTATTCACTCACCTACTCACCTACTCACTCACCTACTCACCTACTCACTCATACACTTACTCACCTACTCACTCACCTACTCACTCACCTACTCACCTACTCACTCACCTACTCACCCACTAACTCACCCACTCACTCACCTACTCACTCACCTACTCACTCACCCACTCACTCACCTACTCACTCACCTACTCACTCACCTACTCACTCACTCTCTCACTCACTCACTCACCCACCCACCCACTCACTCACCCACCCACTCACTCACCCACTCACTCACTCAATCACCCACTCACTCATCCACTCACTCACCTCACTCACCTACTCACTCACCTACTCACCTACTCACTCACCTACTCACCCACTAACTCGCTCACCCACTCACTCACCTACTCACTCACCTACTCACTCACCTACTCACTCACCTACTCACTCACCCACTCACTTACCTACTCACTCACCTACTCACTCACTCACCCACACTCACTCACTCACTCACCCACTCACTCACCCACTCACTCACTCACTCACCCACTCACTCACCCACTCACCCACCCACCCACTCACCCACCCACCCACTCACCCACCCACCCATTCACCCACTCACTCACCCACCCACCCACCCACTCACCCACCCACTCACCCACCCACTCACCCACCCACCTACTCACCCACTCACTCACCCACCCACCCATTCACCCACTCACCCACCCACTCACTCACCCACTCACCCACCCTCTCACTCACCCACCCACCAACTCACTCCCCTACCCACTCACCCACTCACTCACTCACCCACCCACCCACTCACTCTCCCACCCACCCACTCACTCACCCACCCACCCACCCACTCACCCACCCACCCACTCACCCACCCACTCACTCACTCACCCACTCACTCACTCCCCTACCCACTCACTCACTCCCCTACCCACTCACCCACCCACCCACTCACTCACCCACCCACTCACTCACCCACTCACTCACTCACCCACTCACTCATCCACTCACTCACCTCACTCACCTACTCACTCACCTACTCACCCACTAACTCGCTCACCCACTCACTCACCTACTCACTCACCTACTCACTCACCTACTCGCTCACCCACTCACTCACCTACTCACTCACCTACTCACTCACTCACTCACCCACACTCACTCACTCACTCACCCACTCACTCACCCACTCACTCACTCACCCACTCACTCACTCACTGACCCACTCACTCACTCACTCACCCACCCACTCACCCACTCACCCACCCACCCACCCTCTCACCCACCCACCCACTCACCCACCCACTCTCCCACCCACCCACCCACACACCCACTCACCCAGCCACTCACCTTTTCACCCACCCACTCACCCACCCACCCATTCACCCACCCACTCACCCACCCTCTCACTCACCCACCCACCAACTCACTCCCCTACCCACTCACCCACTCACTCACTCACCCACCCACCCACTCACTCTCCCACCCACCCACTCACTCACCCACCCACCCACCCACTCACCCACCCACTCACTCACTCACCCACTCACTCACTCCCCTACCCACTCACCCACCCACCCACTCACTCACCCACCCACTCACTCACCCACTCACTCACTCACTCACCCACTCACTCATCCACTCACTCACCTCACTCACCTACTCACTCACCTACTCACCCACTAACTCGCTCACCCACTCACTCACTCACCCACCCACCCACTCACTCTCCCACCCACCCACTCACTCACCCACCCACCCACTCACTCACTCCCCTACCCACTCACCCACCCACCCACTCACTCCCCCACCCACTCACCCACTCACCCACTCACTCACTCACTCACCCACCCACCCTCTCACCCACCCTCTCACCCACCGACCCCACCTACCCTCTCACCCACCCCACCTACCCACTCACCCACTCACCCACTCACTCACTCACCCACCCACCCACCCACTCACCCACCCACCCTCTGACTCCCCCAGGCCCAGTTCAGCAGGGACCGTGTCACTGGGGTGTCCTCGCTGAGCTTCACGCTCGAGTCCAGCCGCACGCTGCGTGTGGACGGAGCTCCTTGCACTGTGCTGGGGGTCACCCTTCACTGTGACCCCGAGGTCACTCCCTGGTGCCTCACTCCAGCTGACTGAGACTCACACCTAGTGTCTGTGTGAGTGTCTGTGTGTGTGTCACTGTGTGTGTGTGTGTGTCACTGTGTGTCACTGTGTGTGTGAGTGTCTGTGTGAGTGTCTGTGTGTGTGTCACTGTGTGTGTCACTGTGTGTGTGTGTCACTGTGTGTGTGTGTGTCACTGTGTGTCACTGTGTGTGTCACTGTGTGTGTGTGTGTGTCACTGTGTGTGTGTGTCTGTGTGTCACTGTGTGTGTGGACGGAGCTCCTTGCACTGTGCTGGGGGTCACCCTTCACTGTGACCCCGAGGTCACTCCCTGGTGCCTCACTCCAGCTGACTGAGACTCACACCTAGTGTCTGTGTGAGTGTCTGTGTGTGTGTCACTGTGTGTCTGTGTGTGTGTCTGTGTGTGTCACTGTGTGTGTGTGTGTGTGTCACTGTGTGTCTGTGTGAGTGTCTGTGTGTGTTAGTGTGTCTGTGTGTGTCACTGTGTGTGTGTGTCACTGTGCGTGTGGACGGAGCTCCTTGCACGGTGCTGGGGGTCACCCTTCACTGTGACCCCGAGGTCACTCCCTGGTGCCTCACTCCAGCTGACTGAGACACACACCTAGTGTCTGTGTGAGTGTCTGTGTGTGTGTCACTGTGTGTCTGTGTGTGTGTCTGTGTGTGTCACTGTGTGTGTGTGTGTGTGTCACTGTGTGTCTGTGTGAGTGTCTGTGTGTGTTAGTGTGTCTGTGTGTGTCACTGTGTGTGTGTGTCACTGTGCGTGTGGACGGAGCTCCTTGCACGGTGCTGGGGGTCACCCTTCACTGTGACCCCGAGGTCACTCCCTGGTGCCTCACTCCAGCTGACTGAGACTCACACCTAGTGTCTGTGTGAGTGTCTGTGTGTGTGTCACTGTGTGTGTGTGTGTGTCACTGTGTGTCACTGTGTGTGTGAGTGTCTGTGTGAGTGTCTGTGTGTGTGTCACTGTGTGTGTGTGTGTGTCACTGTGTGTCACTGTGTGTGTGTGAGTGTCTGTGTGAGTGTCTGTGTGTGTGTGACTGTGTGTGTGTGTGGACGGAGCTCCTTGCACGCTGCTGGGGGTCACCCTTCACTGTGACCCCGAGGTCACTCCCTGGTGCCTCACTCCAGCTGACTGAGACACACACCTAGTGTCTGTGTGAGTGTCTGTGTGTCTGTGTGTCTGTGTGTGTGTCTGTGTGTGTCACTGTGTGTCTGTGTCACTGTGTGTCTGTGTGTGTGTCTATGTCTGTGTGTGTGTGTCACTGTGTGTGTGAGTGTGTGTCACTGTGTGTGTGGACGGAGCTCCTTGCACGGTGCTGGGGGTCACCCTTCACTGTGACCCCGAGGTCACTCCCTGGTGCCTCACTCCAGCTGACTGAGACACACACCTAGTGTCTGTGTGAGTGTCTGTGTGTGTGTCACTGTGTGTGTCTGTCTGTGTGTGTGAGTCTCTGTGTGTGTGTGTGTGTCACTGTGTGTGTGGACGGAGCTCCTTGCACGGTGCTGGGGGTCACCCTTCACTGTGACCCCGAGGTCACTCCCTGGTGCCTCACTCCAGCTGACTGAGACTCACACCTAGTGTCTGTGTGTGTGTCTGTGTCTGTGTGAGTGTGTGCGTGTGGACGGAGCTCCTTGCACGGTGCTGGGGGTCACCCTTCACTGTGACCCCGAGGTCACTCCCTGGTGCCTCACTCCAGCTGACTGAGACTCACACCTAGTGTCTGTGTGAGTGTCTGTGTGTGTGTGTCACTGTGTGTGTGTCACTGTGTGTGTGTGTCACTGTGCGTGTGGACGGAGCTCCTTGCACGGTGCTGGGGGTCACCCTTCACTGTGACCCCGAGGTCACTCCCTGGTGCCTCACTCCAGCTGACTGAGACTCACACCTAGTGTCTGTGTGAGTGTCTGTGTGTGTGTATCTATGTGTGTGTGTGTGTCACTGTGTGTGTGTCACTGTGTGTGTGAGTGTCTGTGTGAGTGTCTGTGTGTGTGTCACTGTGTGTGTGTGTGTGTCACTGTGTGTCACTGTGTGTGTGAGTGTCTGTGTGAGTGTCTGTGTGTGTGTCACTGTGTGTGTGTGTGTGTCACTGTGTGTCACTGTGTGTGTGTGAGTGTCTGTGTGAGTGTCTGTGTGTGTGTGACTGTGTGTGTGTGTGGACGGAGCTCCTTGCACGCTGCTGGGGGTCACCCTTCACTGTGACCCCGAGGTCACTCCCTGGTGCCTCACTCCAGCTGACTGAGACACACACCTAGTGTCTGTGTGAGTGTCTGTGTGTGTGTGTGTCTGTGTGTGTGTCTGTGTGTGTCACTGTGTGTCTGTGTCACTGTGTGTCTGTGTGTGTGTCTATGTCTGTGTGTGTGTGTCACTGTGTGTGTGAGTGTGTGTCACTGTGTGTGTGGACGGAGCTCCTTGCACGCTGCTGGGGGTCACCCTTCACTGTGACCCCGAGGTCACTCCCTGGTGCCTCACTCCAGCTGACTGAGACACACCTAGTGTCTGTGTGAGTGTCTGTGTGTGTTAGTGTGTCTGTGTGTGTCACTGTGTGTGTGTGTCACTGTGCGTGTGGACGGAGCTCCTTGCACGGTGCTGGGGGTCACCCTTCACTGTGACCCCGAGGTCACTCCCTGGTGTCTCACTCCAGCTGACTGAGACTCACACCTAGTGTCTGTGTGAGTGTCTGTGTGTGTCTGTGTGTGTGTCTGTGTGTGTCACTGTGTGTGTCACTGTGTGTGTGTGTGTGTGTCACTGTGTGTGTGTGTGAGTGTCTGTGTGTGTTAGTGTGTCTGTGTGTGTCACTGTGTGTGTGTGTCACTGTGCGTGTGGACGGAGCTCCTTGCACGGTGCTGGGGGTCACCCTTCACTGTGACCCCGAGGTCACTCCCTGGTGCCTCACTCCAGCTGACTGAGACTCACACCTAGTGTCTGTGTGAGTGTCTGTGTGTGTGTCACTGTGTGTGTGTGTGTGTCACTGTGTGTCACTGTGTGTGTGAGTGTCTGTGTGAGTGTCTGTGTGTGTGTCACTGTGTGTGTGTGTGTGTCACTGTGTGTCACTGTGTGTGTGTGAGTGTCTGTGTGAGTGTCTGTGTGTGTGTGACTGTGTGTGTGTGTGGACGGAGCTCCTTGCACGCTGCTGGGGGTCACCCTTCACTGTGACCCCGAGGTCACTCCCTGGTGCCTCACTCCAGCTGACTGAGACACACACCTAGTGTCTGTGTGAGTGTCTGTGTGTCTGTGTGTGTGTCTGTGTGTGTCACTGTGTGTCTGTGTCACTGTGTGTCTGTGTGTGTGTCTATGTCTGTGTGTGTGTGTCACTGTGTGTGTGAGTGTGTGTCACTGTGTGTGTGGACGGAGCTCCTTGCACGCTGCTGGGGGTCACCCTTCACTGTGACCCCGAGGTCACTCCCTGGTGCCTCACTCCAGCTGACTGAGACACACACCTAGTGTCTGTGTGAGTGTCTGTGTGTGTGTATCTATGTGTGTGTGTGTGTCACTGTGTGTGTGTCACTGTGTGTGTGAGTCTGTGTGTGTGTCACTGTGTGTGTGTCACTGTGTGTGTGAGTCTGTGTGTGTGTCACTGTGTGTGTGCGTGTGTCACTGTGTGTGTCACTGTGTGTGTGTGTCACTGTGTGTGTGTGTGTGTGTCACTGTGTGTCTGTGTGAGTGTCTGTGTGTGTTAGTGTGTCTGTGTGTGTCACTGTGTGTGTGTGTCACTGTGCGTGTGGACGGAGCTCCTTGCACGCTGCTGGGGGTCACCCTTCACTGTGACCCCGAGGTCACTCCCTGGTGCCTCACTCCAGCTGACTGAGACACACACCTAGTGTCTGTGTGAGTGTCTGTGTGTGTGTCACTGTGTGTGTCTGTCTGTGTGTGTGAGTCTCTGTGTGTGTGTGTGTGTCACTGTGTGTGTGGACGGAGCTCCTTGCACGGTGCTGGGGGTCACCCTTCACTGTGACCCCGAGGTCACTCCCTGGTGCCTCACTCCAGCTGACTGAGACTCACACCTAGTGTCTGTGTGAGTGTCTGTGTGTGTGTGTGTGTGTCTGTGTGTGTGTCTGTGTGTGTCACTGTGTGTCTGTGTCACTGTGTGTGTGTCACTGTGTGTGTGAGTCTGTGTGTGTGTGTGTGTCACTGTGTGTGTGTGTGTCACTGTGTGTGTGTGTGTCACTGTGTGTGTGTGTGTGTCACTGTGTGTGTCACTGTGTGTGTGTGTGTGTCACTGTGTGTGTGTGTCTGTGTGTGTGTCACTGTGTGTGTCACTGTGTGTGTGTCACTGTGTGTGTGTCTGTGTGTGTGTCACTGTGTGTGTCACTGTGTGTGTGTCACTGTGTGTGTGTGTCTGTGTGTGTGTCACTGTGTGTGTCACTGTGTGTGTGTCACTGTGTGTGTGTGTGTCTGTGTGTGTGTCACTGTGTGTGTCACTGTGTGTGTGTCACTGTGTGTGTCACTGTGTGTGTGTCACTGTGTGTGTCACTGTGTGTGTGTCACTGTGTGTGTCACTGTGTGTGTGTCACTGTGTGTGTGTGTGTCTGTGTGTGTGTCACTGTGTGTGTCACTGTGTGTGTGTCACTGTGTGTGTGTCACTGTGTGTGCGTGTGGACGGAGCTCCTTGCACGGTGCTGGGGGTCACCCTTCACTGTGACCCCGAGATCACTCCCTGGTGCCTCACTCCAGCTGACTGAGACTCACACCTAGTGTCTGTGTGTGTCTGTGTGTGTGTCACTGTGTGTGTGTGTGTGTCACTGTGTGTCTGTGTGTGTGTCTGTGTGTGTGTGTGTCTGTGTGTGTGTGTGTCTGTCTGTGTGTGTGTCACTGTGTGTGTGTGTGTGTCACTGTGTGTCACTGTGTCACTGTGTGTGTCACTGTGTGTCACTGTGTCACTGTGTGTGTCACTGTGTCACTGTGTGTGTCTGTGTGTGTGTGTGTCACTGTGTGTGTGTGTCTGTGTGTGTGTCTGTGTGTGTGTCTGTGTGTCTGTGTGTGTGTGTCTTTGTGTCTGTGTGTGTGTCTGTGTGTGTGTCTGTGTGTGTGTCTGTGTGTGTGTTTGTGTGTTTGTGTGTGTGTCTGTGTGTGTCTGTGTGTGTCTGTGTGTGTGTCTGTGTGTGTGTGTGTGTCTGTGTGTGTGTCTGTGTGTGTGTCTGTGTGTGTGTGCTACGCTGCATTACGAACCTGGCGACCCGGGTTCGATTCCCGCTCACGGCCACCAGCACCAGCAGTGACAGCGATTATCTGAACCGGTCCTGGGCCTCCCCTAGGTCGACTCAGCCTCAAATCAATTACCTGGTGTAGTGGTGGTGTAGTGGTGGTGGTGGTGGTGGCCACCCACCCCCTCTGAGTGTAGCCACAGTGCCGGTAGCCTTCATAGACGCTGCTGCTGCTGCTACTCGCTACTAACACAGCACTTGCCCCTACAGCCCTGTTAGAGGCTACCTGGGGGAGCTTTGTCTGTGTCGCAGCACTTGCCCCTACAGCCCTGTTAGAGGCTACCTGGGGGAGCTTTGTCTGTGTCGCAGCACTTGCCCCTACAGCCCTGCTAGAGGCTACCTGGGGGAGCTTTGTCTGTGTCTCAGCACTTGCCACTACAGCCCTGCTAGAGGCTACCTGGGGGAGCTTTGTCTGTGTCTCAGCACTTGCCCCTACAGCCCTGCTGGAGGCTACCTGGGGGAGCTTTGTCTTTGTGTTACACTTGGCGGGGAAGGGGGTGGTCCACCTTTACAGCAGATTGCAAACTCCACCTCCCTACAGATGTATAATGGACTGGTCCAAAAATACCATAATCACGTTGACCCCCCCCCCTCCTACGAATGCAATGGTATGGTCCACTTCTAAAGCTGATGGGACATTCCACCCCCCTTCCTACAGATATAATGGACTGGTCCAAAAATACCATCACGTTGACCACCCCCCCACTAATGTAATGGTATGGTCCATCTTTAAAGCTGATGGGAAATTCCACCCCCCCTTTCTTACAGATGTAATGGAATGGTCCAAAAATACCATAATCACGTTGACCTACCCCCCCCCCCCCACTAATGTAATGGTATGGTCCACTTCTAAAGCCAATGGGAAATTCCACCCCCTTTCCTACAGATGTAATGGACTGGTCCAAAAATACCATAATCACGTTGACCTACCCCCCCACGAATGTAATGGTATGGTCCACTTCTAAAGCTGATGGGAAATTCCACCCCCCTTCCTGCAGATGTAATGGACTGGTCCAAAAATACCATAATCACGTTGACCTACCCCCCCCCCCCCCACTAATGTAATGGTATGGTCCACTTCTAAAGCCAATGGGAAATTCCACCCCCTTTCCTACAGATGTAATGGATTGGTCCAAAAATACCATAATCACGTTGACCTACCCCCCCCCCCCCCACTAATGTAATGGTATGGTCCACTTCTAAAGCTGATGGGAAATTCCACCCCCCTTCCTACAGATGTAATGGACTGGTCCAAAAATACCATAATCACGTTGACCTACCCCCCCCCACGAATGTAATGGTATGGTCCACCTATACAGCATATTGGAAACTCCCCCCCACCTTACAGATGTAATGGACTGGTCCCAATGTACCATTAAAATCAGATTTAGACTTAAAGCTTTTCTGACTGCAGGAAATCACATTCATGGTTCTTTCGGTAAAGAGATTTGAAAAATAAAAAAATGATTATAAAATAAAAATAATAAGAGTCGATAAAAATAATAAAATAAAAATAATAAATTGAAAATAATCAAAGCAAAAACCCCACACGACGTATCGATCGTTATAATTTTAATTTTATTATTTTAAAGTTTATTTATTTTTATTATTTTTGTTTTACTTATTTTATTACTTTTATTGTATATATATATTTTCGTGTTCTATTTACGTGACTTTACCGAAAGAACCAAGAATATACATTAAGATCACGTTCACCTATTCCACCTCGTAATGGTATGATCCACCCATACAGCAGAAGCGAAACTCCCCCCCCCCTCCCCCACAGATGTAATGGACTGGTCCAAAGGTACCATTATAATCAGGATCACCTATTCCACACTCACGTAGTGGTATAGTCCAACTGCCCAGGTTGAAGCGACTGATACACGGTCACCCCCCGTTACCCCCCCTTCCACAACTCCGCAATGGTATGGACCAACTAAAGACAAAGGTCACCCTAATAGGCTTCAACAGACGTTCAGGGCAAGTGCCATTCTGGAGTAGCAGCAGCAGCATTGCTTTTGAAGCCGCCTATAGGACATTCCCCCCTCCCCTCGGAGGTGTAATGGATTGTTCCATTGTTACCAGTACAGATTACCTCTACCCTCTCACCCCTTCATTAATGATGTAATGGTATAGTCCATCCAGAGCAAGCCATGGGACCAACCCTCTCTCCCGCGCCCCTACAGGTGTAATGGATCAGTCCATGTCCTTACTACCTTCACACAATGGACTGGCCCTTGGTCAAGAACACCCCCCTACAGGTGTAATGGACTAGGCCCATGTCCACCAGACTTGTACACAATGGACTGGCCCATTGTCAATGGTACCCCCCTGTACAGGTGTAATGGACCAGCCCATGTCCTTCCTACCTGTACACAATGGACTAGGCCATGTACATCCTACCTTCACACAATGGACTGGCCCATTGTCAATAATACCCCCCTACAGGTGTAATGGACTAGGCTATGCACATCCTACTTGTACACAATGGACTGGCCCATTGTCAATAATAACCCCCCTACAGGTGTAATGGACTAGCCCGTGTCCTTCCTACCTTCCCACAATGGACTGGCCCATTGTCAATAATACCCCCCCTACAGGTGTAATGGACTAGCCCGTGTCCACCCTCCCTGCACACAATGGACCAATCCACCAGACAGACAAAGCAGCCTTATGGGGCCAACCCCCCCCCCCCACCGCTACACTCAGGAATGGTAGAGTCCGGCGCTAGCATTTGGTCGCTGAATGCTTTGGACGGCGACGAACGATGGAAGAGTCCATTCGGCGGAGTCGGGGGGGTGTTTTTAAGGCTATAATCGGTCCCTTAAAATAAGGGCGTTTGGCCTATAAAGTAAAGCTAATGATGTTAATAAAAAGTCGTTGTTCACTTTGACATCGCCGTTTCACTTTGCCCGACATCCGATGCAACCGCCGTGATGCTGATTGTTGCTGGCCGCTTTCACGTGAGAGTGTGGGTGAACAGGTGAGTGAGTAGGTGAGTGAGAAGATGAGTGAGTAGGTGAGTGAGGAGGGGAGTGACTGAGTAGGTGAGTGAGGAGGTGAGTGAGTGAGTAGGTGAGTGAGAAGATGAGTGAGTGAGTGAGGAGGTGAGTGAGAAGATGAGTGAGTGAGTAGGTGAGTGAGAAGGTGGGTGAGTGGGTGAGTGAGTCAGGTGAGTGAGTGGGTGAATGAGTGAGTAGGTGAGTGAGTGAGTAGGTGAGTGTGTGGATGAATGAGTGAGTAGGTGAGTCAGGAGGTGAGTGTGTGGATGAGTGCGTGGGTGGGTGAGTGAGTAAGTGGGTAAGTGAGTGGGTGAATGAGTCAGTAGGTGAGTGAGTGAGTAGGTGAGTGAGTGGGTGAATGAGTGAGTAGGTGAGTGAGGAGGGGAGTGAGTAGGTGAGTGACTGAGTACGTGAGTGAGTGAGTAGGTGAGTGAGTGGGTGAATGAGTGAGTAGGTGAGTGAGTGGTTGAGTGTGTGGATGAGTGAGTGGGTGGGTGAGTGAGTAGGTGAGTAAGTGGGTGAGAGTGAGTAGGTGGGTGAATGAGTGAGTAGGTGAGTGAGTGAGTAGGTGAGTGTGTGGATAAGTGAGTGGGTGAATGAGTGAGTGAGTAGGTGAGTGAGTAGGTGAGTGTGTGGATGAATGAGTGAGTAGGTGAGTGAGGAGGTGAGTGTGTGGATGAGTGAGTGGGTGGGTGAGTGAGTAGGTGAGTAAGTGGGTGAGTGAGTGAGTGGGTGAATGAATCAGTAGGTGAGTGAGTGAGTAGGTGAGTGGGTGAATGAGTGAGTAGGTGAGTGAGTGAGTAGGTGAGTGGGTGAATGAGTGTGTGGATGAGTGAGTAGGTGAGTGAGTGAGTAGGTGAGTGAGTGGGTGAATGAGTAGGTGAGTGAGTGTGTGGATGAGTGAGTAGGTGAGTGAGGAGGTGAGTGTGTGGATGAGTGAGTGGGTGGGTGTGTGAGTAGGTGAGTGTGTGGGTGAGTGAGTATGTGAGTGAGTGAGTAGGTGAATGAGTGGATGAGTGAGTGGGTGGGTGAGTGAGTAGGTGAGTAAGTGGGTGAGTGAGTGGGTGAATGAGTCAGTAGGTGAGTGAGTGAGTAGGTGAGTGGGTGAATGAGTGAGTAGGTGAGTGAGTGTGTGGATGAGTGAGTGGATGTCACGTAAACAACGCGCCAATTAGTTACTCGTATACAGTGAGGGAAAAAAAGTATTTGATCACCTGCTGATTTTGTACGTTTGCCTACTGACAAAGAAATGATCAGTCTATAATTTTAATGGTAGGTTTATTTGAACAGTGAGAGACAGAATAACAACAACAAAATCCCAACAATGTTATACATTGATTTGCATTTTAATGAGGGAAATCAGTATTTGACCCCCTCTCAATCAGAACGATTTCTGGCTCCCAGGCGTCTTTTATACAGGTAACGAGCTGAGATTAGGAGCACACTCTTAAAGGGAGTGCTCCTAATCTCAGCTTGTTACCTGTATAAAAGACACCTGTCCACAGAAGCAATCAATCAGATTGCAAACTCTCCACCATGGCCAAGACCAAAGAGCTCTCCAAGGATGTCAGGGACAAGATTGTAGACCTACACATGGCTGTAATGGGCTACAAGACCATTGCCAAGCAGCTTGGTGAGAAGGTGACAACAGTTGGTGCGATTATTCGACCTGGGGCTCCATGCAAGATCTCACCTCGTGGAGTTGCAATGATCATGAGAACGGTGAGGAATCAGCCCAGAACTACACGGGAGGATCTTGCCAATGATCTCAAGGCAGCTGGGACCATAGTCACCAAGAAAACAATTGGTAACACACTACGCCGTGAAGGACTGAAATCCTGCAGCGCCCGCAAGGTCCCCCTGCTCAAGAAAGCACATATACATGCCCGTCTGAAGTTTGCCAATGAACATCTGAATGATTCAGAGGACAACTGGGTGAAAGTCTTGTGGTCAGATGAGACCAAAATGGAGCTCTTTGGCATCAACTCAACTCGCCGTGTTTGGAGGAGGAGGAGGAATGCTGCCTATGACCCCAAGAACACCATCCCCACCGTCACACACGGAGGTGGAAACATTATGCTTTGGGGGTGTTTTTCTGCTAAGGGGACAGGACAACTTCACCGCATCAAAGGGACGATGGACGGGGCCATGTACCGTCAAATCTTGGGTGAGAACCTCCTTCCCTCAGCCAGGGCATTGAAAATGGGTCGTGGATGGGTATTCCAGCATGACAATGACCCAAAACACACGGCCAAGGTAACAAAGGAGTGGCTCAAGAAGAAGCACATTAAGGTCCTGGAGTGGCCTAGCCAGTCTCCAGACCTTAATCCCGCAGAAAATCTGTGGAGGGAGCTGAAGGTTCGAGTTGCCAAACGTCAGCCTCGAAACCTTAATGACTTGGAGAAGATCTGCAAAGAGGAGTGGGACAAAATCCCTCCTGAGATGTGTGCAAACCTGGTGGCCAACTACATGAAACGTCTGACCTCTGTGATTGCCAACAAGGGTTTTGCCACCAAGTACTAAGTCATGTTTTGCAGAGGGAGTCAAAATACTGATTTCCCTCATTAAAATGCAAATCAATTTATAACATTTTTGACATGCGTTTTTCTGGATTTTTTTGTTGTTATTCTGTCTCTCACTGTTCAAATAAGCCTACCATTAAAATGATAGACTGATCATTTCTTTGTCAGTGGGCAAACGTACAAAATCAGCAGGGGATCAAATACTTTTTTCCCTCACTGTATACAGGTAACGAGCTGAGATTAGGAGCACACTCTTAAAGGGAGTGCTCCTAATCTCAGCTTGTTACCTGTATAAAAGACACCCGTCCACAGAAGCAATCAATCAATCAATCAGATTCCAAACTCCTCCACCATGGCCCAAGACCAACGAGCTCTCCAAGGATGTCAGGGACAAGATTGTAGACCTACACGAGGCTGGAATGGGCTACAAGACCATTGCCAAAGCAGCTCGGTGAGAAGGTGACAACAGTTGGTGCGATTATTCGCAAATGGAAGAAACACAAAAGAACTGTCAATCTCCCTCGGCCTGGGGGCCTCCACGCATGATCTCACCTCGTGGGGCTGCAATGATCATGAGAACGGTGAGGAATCAGCCCAGAACTACACGGGAGGATCAAACCTGCTGGGCCAAACCACAAGCAAACGTCTGACCTCTGTGATTGCCAACAAGGGTTTTGCCACCAAGTACTAAGTCATGTTTTGCAGGGGTAGTCAAAAATACTGATATTTCCCTCATTAAAATGCAAATCAATTCGTAACATTTTCGGCACGCGTTTTTCCGGATTTTTTTTGGTTGTTGTTATTCTGTCTCTCACATCGTTCAAATCAACCAACCATTAGCATCGTAGACCGATCATTTCTGCGCCAGCGGGCACACGTGCAAAATCAGCAGGGGATCAAATTACTTTTTCCCCGTGCCGACATAGGGTGCTTTTTTTTGGCCACCAAAGCACCGGGCCGTGTTTTTTTTTCGTTGTTGTTGCAGGGGGGAGCCAAACATGCAGATTTCCCCTCGTTGAAGTGGCGGTCAATCTGTGAACACGTGCGCGGAAGCCGGGCGACGGGGCCGACGATCCTCACCGCCACCACCCCCCCCACCGCGTAGACGCCCCGAGGGGAGGTCACCCGGCCTGGGGGGGGGGGGGTTAATCGGGCGACCTACGACCTACGACCCCCGCCCACCCCGCCCCCTCCGAGGCCGACTCAAACACCCAACGCTCGGCACGGGCCGGCCGGCGGCCGGGCGGCCGGAGGGGCCGGGCGGCCGGAGGGGGCCCCAGTTCAGCAGGGGGCCAGGAGCGGACGTCAGGGACGGAGCGGCGATCCGGTGTCACCGAAGGGGCGGGAGATCCGAGGGCCCCCCCCCCCCCCCCCCCCCCGATTGGACGAGAGGCCACGTGGTCGGCGGCTGGCGGGGACGCCCTTCGAAGTCAAAGGTCAAAACGAGGTGGCGGGAAGGGGGGCGGCGGTGGACCGGGTGGCGAGGTGGGGGTCGCGTTCTTCCAAGGGGGTCGAGATCGTAGGATTCCCCCACGGAGACTCCGTGTGTCTGCCGTGGTTCTCCCGGTAAAAGTCGCCACCGCCGCGCAGAGCGAGAGCGGAAGGAAACATTGATCGAATAAAAGAAGGCGATAAAATTCCCACGACGTTTCGGCCGCAACAACAGGGGGCCCTTCCATCGGGCGAAGGGGACCGGACTGTCTGGAGGACAGCGCTGGAGTGAACAGAGCCAAGCTCAGACCGCGACCTTTAAGCTGTGTGAGAAGAAACAGAGCGCCTTGACAGAGGAATTAGCGTAGAATGTTTGCTAAATTCTACGCTAATTCCTTTGTCAAGGGGTGCCTCTGTGGATGTGTATGCTTTGACTTTAACATAGCCATTTCTGTGACCAGTCACAAGCTAATCACTCAGCTATTTCAATGCTAAATTCTCCTGTTTGATTTGTACTAGGTGCCTCTGTGGATGTGTATGCTTTGACTTTAACATAGCCATTTCTGTGACCAGTCACAAGCTAATCACTCAGCCATTTCAATGATCAATTCTATGCTAATTCCTTTGTCAATAGGTGCCTCTGTGGATGTGTAGGCTTTGACTTTAACATAAGCCATTTCTGTGACCAGTTACAAGCTAATCCCTCAGCTATGTCAATGCTAAATTCTCCTGTTTGATTTGTACTAGGTGCCTCTGTGGATGTGTATGCTTTGACTTTAACATAGCCATTTCTGTGACCAGTCACAAGCTAATCCCTCAGCTATTTCAATGCTAAATTCTCCTGTTTGATTTGTACTAGGTGCCTCTGTGGATGTGGATGCTTTGATTTTAACATAGCCATTTCTGTGACCAGTCACAAGCTAATCACTCAGCTATTT